ATTCGTAAAATATGTACGATTTAGCAAAATCGTATTAATTCGTACGAGTGAGGTCGTATGAATTGTTACGAATTAGCCACTTTTTAATCATTCGTCAAATTCGTACGACTTGGTCGTGAGATCGGGTTGGAAAAGACAATATTTCGAAGAAATGTTTCAGTGTTTTTTTGACCAACATTGGAGGCAACCAAAACAGTTTGTTCTTTAAAATGTCTTCTTTATTGTTCAACAGAAGAAAGAAGGGAAGAAATGAAGGCAGGATTTTCAGTTTTGGGTGAAAGGACAGAATACAGTATATACTTTACACTGGTAAGCCAGAATAACAATACAAAAGCATTCCATAACAAAGCTGAAAGATTGGGGTTAATTTTTTATTCATTATTGCACATATGCCTAAATAAAATTACAAACAGAATAGCACAAAGTGCACAGGCATTCAGCATAGATATATAAGTCAAATATAGATTATAATTATAATTATATTGTTATAATATAGATTCTACTTGTTTTTGATCAACATGGAGACTAGACTCGGATTCGTGTTTGCTTCCTCCTCATGGCACTCATGAACACCAGTTAATGGAAACGGTGCTGTCTTACTCTCCCTCTGGTAGTATGGACAAACTTTTAGATGTTCAGAAATTGGAGGCAGTTTGTCAAAGCACCAGCTGTCCACAGCGGAGAACAGATTGCTAAACTGCCAAACCTGATGACGAAGTCAATTAGTTTAATATTAAGTCGAATGTTCATGCACATACACAAACTTGACATTTGACACGTTTTAAGAGTAATGCACTAAATATCTGCTTTCTATCAATATTGATATATTTGTACTTCAAAATGTTGTTGTCAAGATATAATCACTTGGTGGCTGTAATAAAAAATAAGAATTTTTGACAAAATTTCCCCTAAAGGCTCTAAAATTCCAACATCCGGAAGAATATTTAATATTTAATATAGTTTATTCAAAAATGCATACATAGTAAGCAATAACAGCTTAAAATATATAATGCATTTGTAATATAGCACATACCAGTATATTTATATTATTTACAATTTCAGCAATTTGTTCTTTTATAAATATTGAGTTATGGATGGACACAGACAGACTTTCCTGAGGTAAAATTCACCTGACATGTTCACAATCTCTTTTAATGACGTCTTACCAAACACTGAAACACTGACATGACTGTGACTGATGTTACATTTCAATGAATTGGGTAACACTTTACTTGAAGGGGTGTGCATGACTGACATGACACCTTTATAACCAAAGGTAAGGTTTATACATGTTTATGACAACTGTCATTAAGTGTCTTAAGTGTCATTAAGTGTCAGCCCATTCTCACTCCCAAGGCGTCACCTAACTGACGCCTTGGGAAGCATTTGGACATGCTTCAATATCTGACGCTTTAGGCGCCCTTTAGCGTCAGTTAGATGACGCCCTAGGATCGCGTGTACCCTACCCTCACCCCACACCTAAACCTAACCGCGTCCTCTAACTGACGCTTTCCTTTAGCGTCAGTTAGATGACGCCGTAGGATCGCGTCATGTAAGTGACGCTAAAGGGCGCCTAAAACGTCAAATATTGAAGCATGGTCAAAGGTGACGCCTTGGGGTGAGAATGCGTTGTAAGTGTTTAAAAATGTCTTTGTTATGACATCTTGACATAAACCGTAACATCATAAACTGTCAGTGTCTTTGTCATTACAACTTGACATACATTTGTTAATTTGACTTAATTTATTCCGAAACTCACCCTCTTTTTGGTTCTCCAGCACCATCCACCATGAGAGTAGACCTTCTTCTCCCACTTCAATGAGACCATCCCTCTGTCATGAAGCAAGGTGCTGCATACCTCCCTCATGAAACGGGAGACCAGAGCCAGCTGGGACAGGGTGAAGCTGTCGAGAAATCTAGCAACGTGGACCAGGACCTCAAACGGTAACCTGCTCAGAGAATCTGTATTGCGTGCACGCTTTCTTTCCACTGTCACTGTTTTTACACCTTCATACAATGTGTCTGAAACCTCCGGTCGGAGGCAGAAGGTGCTAAGCTCTTTGTTATAGAAGACCGTCGCTTTGTGAGAGCTTGGCTGAAACCTTCTCTGAATAAACGTACAGCCGAGGTAGGCCAGAGGGCATCGCTGTTCAAACCATCCACTGACGCAACTCTGGATGTCAGAGTGAACATTCTTGTAGTGTGAAGGAAACTCATCCCGTCTGAACGTGTGGTTGCACAGGTACGTAAAAGCAGAGCTGGATTTGTTGTGTCTTCTAGTGACGCTTTCAGCCTGAATTTGGACATGAAGTTTCAAAGCCCGGTCAACAGTGAGGTCATACAGCGAGGTCTCTGCTTTGAAAGGTGCCGAGTAGAAATCGTATGTTTGAGTTCCAACGTCCAGAAGAAGGGCGTCTGTGGACCGTGATTCAGCTATGAGATGCCCCCGTAGTTCCCTCTCTAAAGAACACAACAGAGTAGCTTGAACTTCATCCCATTTTGGCATGTCGTCGATTTCAACACCTAGGTCAGATGTGTCAACGCTCGTGTTCACCTTCTTGTTATGCGTGGGGTTTCGAATGCGATTGTTTTTGGCTCTGAAGCTGGTAGGGACTTTAAAAGTGCGGACTGTTTTAATCTTCATGGGCTCCAAATGTTCATAAATGAGTTTCTTTTTGGGTCTGGTGTCACATGCGAACAGGGATGCGGCGATGAGGAATTTATCCTCATCCATTTCAAATGCGTTGTATTGAGGGATGTCAGTAGCCGCATCTTGACTGTCGATCTGCATTTCCCGCTCTTCCCGTAAAACTTCTAACCTGCTTGGGTTTGCTTGTGGCTTTATTTCATTACCGTGAGAGGTTTCAGGATTTTTCCCCAAAGCTTTTATCGTTTGCTTGCAGCCGCTCATTTCCATACTGAACATTCTTTCCCAAATATTATAGCTTTCGAGATTGAACACTTTAGGATTCCTTGCCAGTTCTTCTCGTTCCTCCTGAGTCAGATCTCCTTCAATTTCCGTGCCTGAAGACACAAACTCTTCCTCGACTCCATTCAAGAACGGTACCCCTCCCACGGCCCCCTCTGGCACTGCAATTGAAGGCTCCTCAGCCAACTTTTCAATAAGTTCAGGGAAGATCATCTTCATTTTGAGAGAATGAAAGAGGTGCTGCTGGTCCCTCAGAGCCATCGAGAGATCCAGAGGTTCCTGAGCGTAGTTCTCCTTCAAAATATTCTCATAGAACTCAGGGGTCTCAGACTCTTCGATGGGCCATCGGTTCCACTCCATGGAGCAGGAGACAACACTAGCAGGACACACCGTCAAGTGCTTAGCTAAGTTTGAGCGGCACATGATGAATGGGCAGCCGTACTCAACGTTGAGACAAGGCACCCTCTCGTTGGGGCACAAAAGCATGTGTTCTTCTTCCTTGCACAGGTGAAACACGGCACCGCACAGAAAACGACAACTAATGATTGCACACGACACAGAAATCTCAATCGCTTTCTTGCAGCAGCGGCTGTGGCAGCTCTCACAGTGGCGATGAAGCTTGGATGTTTGGGTCTTTTGTCTACCCTGTGAAGAAATGCAAGATACTGATGTTTGTGTGGTGTTTAGACTGGATATAATGTTTGGAAAGTGTTTTACCATGACTATAAGCGAATGTAAATGACTTGCAAATCTCAGATCTGGGAGAACATCATTATGGTCTTGTTGCAATACACATTGTAAATGAATTAATTATTTGCAAAGTCCACAGTATAAAACTGTATTTTAGAAATAGCCCATCATTAACTCAAGCTAATGCTAAAAACCGAAATGCTTCTTGCAGAAACAATAGACAATATTTAGATTGCTATGCTTACATCTTGCATTTGGTCAACACTAAAAAGGCGAACAAAAGTTGACCTACCATAGTCTTTTACTGTGAGCTCCACAGTGGTGTTCAGCTTACTCACTTATAGTTTGAGTGAGCCTATATCTGTGTCTACCCATTAGTTAAAAATAGACACTTATGCTTGGCAGTGTGACTTGTTCTGTGGCATACTAGATCAAGTTACATGTTCTGCAAACTTAGCCGCTCTAAGGTACCCGGTGTTTTCAAGGCATCCAAGCTCAGCGTAATGTAATGTAATGAGGTTCGATTTTTATGGGAAGGAGATGGGAACCGGTAAACGTTCAACAAATTTAATGACATAAAATAAATCAACAACAAAATGAAAGTATAAGCCAGCAGCCCCAACCAATGGGATGGTAACAGCAGGTGAAGCTCTGCTACAATGGCGGCTCCTGCGAGGCTTCAACTTCCAGCTGATGGATTGTCCCCTTGACAACTTCTGACTATACACATGAATCATTAATCACTGGTCATAGATCAGGCATTTGCGACTGATTTAGCAAAGGATCCACAGTAAAAAATACTCAAAAAATACTTTGTACTTAATACAAATAAAAAATACTCAACTGAGACATTCACATTATTAAAAATAAATAAACCACATTAGGTTCCTTTGGAAGGTAATGTTAGTTTTAGTCAAGTGATCCTGTATTGCTCTTCTCTCCTCGTCATGTCACTAACACACCAGTGGGCGGGGCCAAAGTTGCAATCTTCTTCTGCAGAGGCGGTCTTTCAAATTTCTCTGACCTCATAAATTGGCGCATTTAAAAACGAGTCAAACCTTGGTTTCAATAAAATCTGTTTTTGGACTAACAAGGAATTTTTCAGTTCTGAAACTTACAGGATATTCTTAATAGTATGATGACCTCTTATATGTCCAAAGCTCAAGAAAAATTGTATTTCTCAATTCATGACCCCTTCAAAGTTTCTTGAGTTTTTCTGCTTCTGGCTGTTTGAATGCAAGAATAAATGAATGCACAGATCATGTTTTTAAACAGTTTCAGTATTAAGTTATTTATTAGATAAGATTTTGTTTATTTGTACAACAGTGCTTTTCTAATCATACAATTATTGTGCATATGTTGTGCGCAAAAAGAGATACTCCATGAGTTTAGTGTCCCCATCATGTTTAGAACTAAAAATATTAAACGTAAACATGAGAAGAGAAATGGAAATCTATGACAATTAAGTCATATGGCAATAATCATATTTACTATCAGTGATTATCAGAAGTTATACAGAGAGAACAAAAGGCTACATTCAATAAGATATCAAACACATAAAAAGTACATTTGAGACCTGAATTTCTGGGATCCAAAATTTTATTTAAACCTAGAAATACAATGATTAATAAATAACCAAAAAGTAATACGATTACACAAACTTATGGAGTTCATGCAAGCTTGATTTCTGCTGTCATTAAAGCAAAAATGTAACAAATACTCAAACATCCTAAAATTAATGTTAATTTAAAATTAAAATTAATGTTTACACTCATGCTATAATTTTCAAAGAAAAATAAATAAATAAGAAAAATGATGAATAATAATGTTCACTAATGGACATTCAAGCACTGTAAGCATCTAAAAAAAAAAAAATCAAACTAAAAGTCACAGTTACGGTATCATTTGCGTGCCATAAACAAAGAAACCAAACTTTGTCTCCCCTCTCTTTTGTTGTCAAACTTGGCCAGGGCAAAGGGCTCAGTTTTCAGTTCAGCTAGGTAGAATGGACAGTGTTTCAGGTGCTCAGCCATTGACGGAGTGTTGCTGATACACCAGTTATCCACTTTGCTAAAAAGAGTACTGAACTCCCAGACCTAAGAAAGAAAGATACAGCGAAATTATAGTTAAATTATAGCTAGAAACTGATTAAAACCTGTCAAAAGAAAATGTTAAAGTCATGCAATTATTTTTGATTGGCCTAAATGTTATGCCGTTTCTGATTTCAATACCAATTTTAATACCAAAGTCCTTTTGAATAGTTAGAATCCCTTCAGATTTGTTTTTATTTTTTGAAAAAAAACTGTAGGTCTTTTAAACAAATGGCTTATTATTGAAAGTTAATTAATTTCTATAGAAATGTTTTGAAAATAAATGTTTATTAAAATAAATCCTTACTATGGTAGGTTTCCAGCGGACACCTCCATGAGAGTATGACCTCTTACGCCACTTAAAGGCCACCATTCCTCTCTCCTGCAGAAGCGTGGCACATATATCTCTGAACAATCGTGAGACCAAGGCAAGCTGGGACAAGCTGAAACTATCCAGGTAACCAGCGATGTGGTGAAGCACCTCAAACGGAAGGCTACTGAGATCTTCACATTTGGCACGTGCCTTTAATGTACCACTCTGCAAATGGTTCATAAGAGAGGCAGGAATCTCAGGTGTGAGGGTGAAAACACTGAGGTCTTGGTTATAAGAGACTTTGGCCCTGTGTGTGCTGGGCTGTAATCTTCTCTGACTGAAGGTGCAACCAAGGTAGGCTAGAGGGCATCTCTGCTCAAACCAGCCACTCAGACAGGATTGTATATCCGAATGTACGTTCTTAAAGTGTGAGGCAAACTCATCCCGCCGGAAGAAATGGCCACACAGGAACGTGAAAGCCGAGGTGGATTTGTTGTGTCTGAGGGTAACTGTTTCTGTTTCAAGTTCAACGTGAAGTTTCAAATCTCTGTCTTCTGTAATTTCAGTCAGAGTTGCATTGTATTTGAAGGGAGCTTTGGCAAAATTATATGTCTGTGTCGCAATATCAACATAAAGTCCATCTACTGACACAGTTTCGCTAATTTTGTGGCCCCGTATCTCAGCCTCTGCAGAACAGAGTAAGGTCGCAAACATCTCATCCATCTCCTCGCCGTCGTTTTTAGATACGTCAAGGTCAGACGTGCCGACACCTTTGTCCTCAGTCAATGCTTTTGAATAGCATTCTTTTTGGTGAAAGCGTTTTTGTTTGTAACTACTGGGAACCTTGAAGGAACGTAGAGTTTGGACTGGTATTGGCTCCAGGCTGCCATACACAAAATCTCTCTCCCTGGGTGTGCACGCATCCATCTGACCGAAGGTGATCAGCATGCGCCCGTGATGCACTATATACATGTTGAATTCTCTGGGTTTCACCTCCTGCCCGAGTCTCTCCAGGACGCCATCCTGCCAAGGTGCAAATCCAGTTTTGGAGGTATCGGCTTCCTCTTTCTCAGGCTCTACAGAAGCTCCTTGTGGCTTTGTAAAAGAAGGATCTTTTGAAGGCATATTTGTTCCTTTTTTATCTTCTGTTTTCAACGTTTCTGCCTCCCTGCAAGCTCCCATTTCCATGCTAAACATCTTTTCGAACCGATTGTACTTGTCCTTGTCAATGGTACCATTTAGGACCACATCTTCATTTAGAGATTTCTCACAAGGTGTTGATGGTTCATTTACTAAAACTGAACCTCCATGTCCGTTGACATGAATCCCATTACACATAGACTCTTCCGTTCGAGCAGTTTCCTCTTCTTGTTCCTCCATCAACTCAGGAAAGTAGTTCCTCATTTTCAACCTGGCACATAGATGTTTCTGGTCTCTCAGCGCCATGGAAAGGTCCAGTGATTCCTGCTCTTGGAGCTCTTTAAGAAGGTTTGTACACAAGGGGGCATCTGGGTTCTCGACAGGCCAGCGGTTCCACTCCATAGAGCAACAGACGACGCTTGCAGGACACACCTCAAGGTGTTTGGCCAGCTGAGAGCGATGCATGGTGAAAGGGCAACCATAGTGAGTGTTAATGCATGGTACCTTCTCATTGGGACACAGCAGAGAGTGTTCCTCCTCTTTACATAAGTGGAAGGAGGCCCCACAGAGCAAGCGGCAGTTGATGACCATGCAAGACACGGAGACCTCTATGGAGGCTTTGCAGCGGCGGCTGTAACAGGTCTCACAATGCCTGTGCAACCTTGGACGAGATCTCCTACAGTGGCTCTGTGGTAAAACACAATTGACAAGCACAACAAAACGACTCATAGTTTGCTGACAAGCACAATATTTATTCTATATTGATGTATATCCTACCGAAACAGGATGGCGAAATTCTTTTTTATTATTATTTATTGATAGTTGTGTCATGGTCATGTTTAGTTTCTTTATCATATCTTGTTTAGTTTCATAGTCTCACTATATGACTTTTGCCTCAATAAACCCATAATTACTGCTTATTAGATATGAAAGTAGTTGTTCAGTTTAGATATTTGGTAGGATTAAGAGATGTAGAATATGGTCATGCAGAATAGAATAAGGCATTCATTTGTGCTTTACAGTTTAAGTATAATAAACAGCAAATTTCCAAGTTATATGCAAGGTAATAAGCAAATAGTTAAACGACAACTCAGGTGCAAAATTAACCGTTGGTCTAAGAACACATTGGTACCCAGTCAACTGTTAATTATAATAAGGTATTGTAGTTTCCATTCCATCGTAATGTTTGCTGAGTAATGTAATGCTGACCCATTCTGTAATTCAAATCTATGTTATGCCATATACTTTTACAAACAAAATATCACTGATTAACCGATTTTTAAGTAATGGGAAATGAATTGAACATACCATTATTATCCAAGGCAAGGTCAATGAGCAACAGCAGTTTCTGAAAAAAAAAAGTAGAGTAGTATTTTATTCTTTAAAATGTCTGTATACTGTAACACATCTACACACATTGATAAATTATAACATTTTGTGCAGTATATTTGTGCTAAATATATTTTCACTTTAAAAGTACCTGCTTTTAAAAGACCTTGCTGTAGCTATACTTAATGGTGAAAGGTTGCAGGCACTAACAGCAGTACCTAAACAGTTACCAAACAACTTACCATGAACCGTGAACCATATCTAAAGAAGGTCTCCTGTTTGTTACAAGAAACCTTTCTAAGGAACAAGATGGTAGGTCATGTTAAAAATAGTCACCTCAGCTGGCAGCAAGTTACATAACCTGTAGAAAAGTCAAATTAACTGTAGGAAAAGTTGACAGACAAATGACAAACATTTTGAAATAAAAATCTTACTATAATTAAAGCTCTTTATAGCCATAGGGCAAAGAGACTACAGAAAAGATCAGAGAGAGCAGCAGAGAGAAGCAGAAAAGAAGCAGAGAGAGTTTAAACCTGGATTTTAATGTTACACGAGTGGGTCACCAGATGGCAGTCATTCCTTTTGTTGACTGGGCTCCACAAGGACATACAACACATTTTGTGTTCCTCTCCATCTTCACGCTTAATATTTTTTATTAACAACGTTTTTTTTTTCTATGTGTGATGTTTCTGATGTAGTTGCTTTGTCTTTATCAAGGCTCAGGAACATCCATCCATATTCACATTCTACACATTCACCATACCACGTAAACACAGAACACTGAACTATAGCGTAAAGGAGTGAAGGGTACAAAAATAGTGTAGCTAGTTAGCTGTAGTGTGGCAGGGCATGTTACCATTTGGTCACAATCAGCTACAAATCTGACAAGCATTTTGTGTCATAAAAGTAGCTACAAAATTAAAAAATAAATAAATAAATAAATATATATATATATATATATATATATATATATATAACCTGTGCATTAGGAGTGTTACAGTTTTCTCCACTTATATTTAAACATTCAAAGCTTAAGCAGAAAATGGAGAATGCGTGAAGATGGAGAAGAACACAAAATGTGTTGTGTGTCCTTGTGGAGCCCAGTCCTTAGTAGTTGTAACTAGTTAGCTGTAGTGTGGCAAGGCATGTTACATTGTACTTTATGTTCCATTTACAATCAAGTGATGTTTTTGAAAATGTAATAATGCAGAAAGTTTTCTGTATTATTTCCGCAGTATAGGAATTAATAATATTGTGGGTCATCATGGTGGGTAAAAATACTCACCTCAGCTGGCAGCAAGTTATATAAACAGTAAAAGAGTTTTCTGGGTAGGTTTATGGGATGGAATAGCCTACCGTTTGTAGCCCTACAGCCTATAAATTATTATGTCTACGGAATGCCAAACAAAATCCAACATGTGTGTCTGTGTGTTGTCATTTCAAGTTGTGTTAGATGCAGCTGATTCTAATTGTGTTCAAACTTTACAATCCCTATCAAGGCATTTTTGTACATCAAACACTTTTGAATTAGAATATTTTTTAACATAGAAAAATAAATCCAGTAAAGTCTTTCTTTCTTTCTTTCTTTCTTTCTTTCTTTCTTTCTTTCTTTCTTTCTTTCTTTCTTTCTTTCTTTCTTTCTTTCTTTCTTTCTTTCTTTCTTTCTTTCTTTCTTTCTTTTTCTTTCTTTTTCTTTCTTTTTCTTTCTTTCTTTCTTTCTTTCTTTCTTTCTTTCTTTCTTTCTTTCTTTCACCTTCATATATTTCATATAGAAAGGTACAACTTCTTCAGTCACCTCAGGAGGGTGCAGTAGGCTAGCCTACATACCAAACACAGCACAGTCGCCTAATCATGTCCTCATGTTTTACTGTAGGTGAGCTGGATTAGACCAGTAGGAGTCACCGCTACACTCGCTTTCTCGCTCTACTGAATCTCTCAGTGATTGAGCAGGGAAACAAAATGCCGGAAGTGGGATTTCGGGATACGGTGTTTCGGGACTCGTAACCGTGGAAAGTTTACATTTCCAAGAAATCGACTTTTCCTGAGGATTAAAACTTTTCGGTTGCCCGGTGTTCGTCAGGTTTTGTCTCACGGTTTCATTCATCCTCACTTTTACAATGGGGCTCCCGGCGCTGGAATTCAGTGATTCTTTTCTGGACAGTCCTGACTTTAGAGAGCGACTCAAATGCCACGAAATTGAGCTGGATCGTACTAATAAGTTCATTAAGGATCTAATCAAAGATGGAAATATGCTTATCAGCGCTCTTAAAAGTAAGTTCCAGGTCGTGTTGTTGTTTTTTATGTAAGATTGATACATTGATTTATTGAGTTTTTTGCTGATAAATCTTATTTTTGTTGTACTAAGTATTGCTGACTGTTTGTAGCCTATTACTTGTATTTATTTACTTCACTTTTTGTTACCTAATAAAATTAGAGTGAGAATTTTGTTCTCTGAAATGATGTCTGAAGAAACTGCAGTTCAGTCTTCCCAACTGAAAGGACCTAACTAGCAGTTGACCTTTTTCCCTCTTGAATACCTAGACATTTCCTCTACTTGAAAATACAACTTAGTATGGGTCTAAAGAGTTCAAGTGTTACCCTGTTGTGTAAACACATATTTGACCACTCTAATATTGAACAGGTTTAAGAAGTGAGCATGTACAGGGTTGGTGTATGCCATCATCAAATGCTTGTTTATTCAGCTGGGATCTGATACGATATCAGAAAGGAGTCTTTACTAGATATGCAGTTATCTGCCACTTCACTATCTGGGTCCTCCTGCCTAGATGGATTTGCTTTGTACAAGTTTTAGTCTTTGAACTTCTATCTCGTTATTTCCAACAATATTCTCTTTCACAACTTACTTCTTTATTCTCTGCCTTAAAACATTCTGGCAGAAGGCTCCTTCTGGCTTTTGTACCAAACAAAAGGCAGTGAATGTTTTCCTCAAAGACTTTCAACTTGCTTTGCACTAATGCTTTGATTGAATGAGTATTTGTGATGTCATCTCCTTCCTGTTAGACTGAACAAATCAAGAGTGAATATGTTAAAATGACATTGAAGCTCCATAAAATAATTGTCTATTCAACAGATCTTTCTGCAGCTGTGCAAAAATTTTCCCAGTCCCTCCAGGATTTCCAGTTTGAATGCATTGGAGATGCAGAGACAGATGATGAGATTAATATCGGTAAGTAGTTAGCAAATGATCAAGATGAAAATTATGTGAACAATCATATAATTGATTCAATTATATATTTTTAATATGAATAGTTTACCAAAAAATGAAAATTCTGCCATCATGGACTTACCATCTTGTCTTTCTAAACCAGTAAACCAGTTTCTTTCATGCAATTCAAAAGAAGTAGTTTAGCCGAATGTCTGAGCTGCTCTCATCCAGACAAAAATCTTCACAAAAAATGAAAGCTGTGATCACCATTCACTTTCATTTTATTGAAAAGACCAGCTATAAATAATTATTTTGTCTTTCACAAAAAATAGCAGGTTTGGAACGGCTTAAATAACGACAGAATATTCATTTGTTGTGTTAATTATCTCTTTAAGCTGTAAACAATGATGCAAGCAATAAAACAATCTCTTAAATGTCCATGCCTCTATAAGTTTTTTGCAGCTGTTGCTCTCAGTCACCCGCCAACAGTAACAAATGATGTCTAATAAAACTGAGAATACCACACATTGCTGTAGTAGCACAGCTCCTTAGTGTCAAACACAACAGTGATGGTTCTTTATCAGACTGAGACAATTGCTGAATGAACCCAAACAACTTTCTGCAAGAAAGTTCAAGGAATCAGAATGTTCCTTTCTGGCTTCCCATTTTGGTCATAACATTGTTAGATATTTAGACTGTTGAGACTGATAATTTGAAGATAAGCCTGTTTAAAAATGGTATTTTAATGTATATAATTACCTCAAAATGTATAAAACTCATCCATTTATTAGAGATAGTGGATTGAACAGAAAATAGGCAGCCAGATATAATGGCCATACACTACTGTTCAAAAGTTTGGGGTCAGTAAGATTTTTTTTTTTTAAGAAGTTAATACTTTTATAATAATCTATGCTACATTCAGTTGCTCAAAAACGACAGCAAAGCCATTCATTTATTTGTTACAAAATATTTTTCAATTAATTTTTTTTCTAATTAATCCGAGTATCCTGAAGATAAAATGTATCACGGTCGGTTTCCACAAGAATATACATTGATAATAATAAGAAATGTTTCTTGAGCACCAAATCATCATATTAGAATGATTTCTGGAGGATCACGTGAGACTGAAGTCTGAAGTAATGGCTGCTAAAGTTGTAATAACTTTTTAAAATATTACTGTATTTTTGATCAAATAAATGCAGCCTTGGTAAGAATAAAAGATGGCTTTCAAACAAAGTATTTAAAAAAATCTGATGACCCCAAACTTTTGTGTTTGCGAAAAATCACAATACCATAAAGCATTGCGGTTGTTCTAATGCAAAATGAACATCTCAACAGTATAGCTATTGTTCAGTGAATTTATGGCTCTCCTGCTATGCATCAAAGCAGATAGAAAGTAGTTCTTATCTGAGTTCTTAATTGGTTAAAATCCTTGAATGTTTGGTAGAATGATTAGAGGAACTGTGAGGTGGGACCCTTTCTTATCGCCAAACTGAAAAAGTGCTGTATATTCCAGGACAGGAAGTGATGTATCCAAAGCATCCTTTGAAAGAAAAAACAAACAGAAGCACATACTCAGAATCATTGTGTGCTTTTAGTAGTGTTACATAATTTCAACAGTGGCTTATTTTAGATTATCTCCCACATTTCTCAGGTGCTGATTTTACCATACATCTTAAAGGAGTAGTTCACTTTAAAAAAAAATTTTTTGCTGATAATTTACTCACCCCCATGTCATACAAGATGTCCATGTCTTTCTTTCTTCAGTCAAAAAGAAATTAAGGTTTTTGATAACTGGTAACCAAACAAATCTTTTTCAGAGTCAATTCGTTCATTTCGTTCATTGAATGAGCCAAATGACACGAAAAAAGATTCGTTTATTTTGATGAACGAGTTCGAACAGGAGAGTCACGAACGCGCATCACAGAACGAGCAAGGCGACCATTTGAGCTTATAAAACTTAAACTTTGTTATTTTTTTAATTGAGCGATCGTTTCGCTTGATAAGACCCTTATTCATCGTCTGGAATCGTTTAAAGCCCTTTGAACAGTTTGCAGTTTGCACTGAAAGTGTCTTTTGGACCTTTAACCGTTTGGTTACCAGTAAAGTGCATTATATGGAGAAAAATCCTGGAATATTTTCATTAAAAACCTAAATATCTTTTCAACTGAAGAAAGAATGACATGGACATCTTGGATGACATGGGGGTGAGTAAATTATCAGCAAAAGTGAACTACTCCTTTAACTGTTTTACAAGTATCATGTCCAACATTAAAACAAGACAAATTGGATCACTGGATAAAGAATCACTATTAGTCATGCAATTTGGATTATTAAATGATTTGTCTTCATTTTTTTCTTCGACTGACCCTGTTGCACACATGAGGGGCTCATACAGGAATCATGCTTTATGTTACACTCACATTTCTACATCTTGAACATGTGGTCTGCAGTTTGAATACTCCTTTGTGCATTGATCAGTTGTGGGTGGCCATGGTATTTTTTTCTGCCTGGCTAATATTATGTGCAGGTTTTCTGTATTTCCTTCATGCCAAAAGTTCAAAGTGCAAAATCAGATGTGCTGATGGATTCATGATTGGAATTCCTTCTCTCTTATCACAGCCCAGTCATTCAAGGAATTCTCCCAGCTACTGAACACAGTGGAGGAGGAGAGGCGACGACTTGTAAGTTGCTTTGTTTCTGTTCAAAAACTTTTTTTAGTGCATTTATTTGATAAATAGACAGCAAAAACAGTAATGTAATTTACTCTTGTGATGGTAAAGCAGAATTTTCAGCATCATTACTCCAGGCTTCAGTGTCACATGATCCTTCAGAAATAATTTTTTACGCTAATTTGGTGCTTAAGAAATATTTCTTATTATGTTGAATACAGTTGTGCTATTTGTTTGATATATGACTTGCCTTTGTTCATCAACGTTGACCAATGTCATCAATATTCAAATTCATAATCACACTTACTTTTGATCGGTATTTCAGTTACGGGTAAAGGAATTTAAACATTTAAATTATGCAATATGTAAAATGAATTAAAAATAATGGTTTTGTGTGAAAAGTAGAGGGTCTAAGCTTTGTAATGATACCACATATGAATGTTAATGTTTCATCAGGACCTTAAAATATTAAAGGGCGATCATAATAACGATCTAAATAACGCAATTCACACACGGGTTTACGACTTAACAGGTTAATATTATTGTGGAAACCATGATGCATTTTTTCAGGATTCTTTGATGGATATAAAGTTTAAAAGAACAGCATTTATTTGACATAGAAATCTTTTATAAATGTCACTTTTAATCAATGTAAGGCATCCTTGCTGAATAAAGGTAAAAATGTCTTATTTTGCTTTCCAAGGAATGATGACATCATTTTCATTTTTGATTGGTTATGTGGGTGTAATACTGTAACTCAGTGATGGCTGTAAACACACTACATGATGTAGTTCACTTCAAATTTGCCACAGGCGTCGTAATTTGAAGTAACCATAGTGATTGTTTGCGTTTATAGTAGTTGTCTCTTTATTGTTCCTTTTTATGTGGCATTACTCACTCATGGTTAAAGCTTCATAGCACACTTCTAGGCTAGTGGTTTAGCGCTATTTTGAATGAGTTTTTTTGTGAGCTTCCGCAGTCAAGTCTGAGTGTTATGAGAAACAGGCCGTCTACCAAAAGATGCTTTCTCTAGGTCATGACCCTCCGTGGAGGGAAGGGAAACGGCGCAGATCAGCAAGTGGAGACTATGATAAAATATCACTCATAGCATCTTCTTTGCCAGCAGCTACAGCAGCTAATAGGTGCTTTTATGGCATTATTTATAAGGCGACGTGCTGCCAAGGAATATTACTGGCATTCACTGCTGCAGCTGGTGGATCATTAGTCATAGTACAGCAGTGAAAGACCTCACCAGGCAAACAATGCTCCTCTGTGCTTCACTGGTGACCCTACCCACATCTTAACTAACATCCAGCTTTGTTTGGGATTCATCCACACATTGACCTGAGTTTCTTTTATTGATTTTTTTAGATTGAAGACACTATCATTTAAAGGTTTGGGGTTGGTCAGGTATTTTATTTTTATGGTTAAAGGATTAGTTCACGTTTGAAAAAAGTCGAAAGTCGAAAAGTTCTTCAGTCGAAAAGAAATTAAGGTTTTTGATGAAAACATTCCAGGATTTTTCTCCATATAATGGACTTCAATGGGAACCAAACGGTTCAAGGTCCAAAAGACAGCTTCAGTGCAAACTGCAAACTGTTTAAAGGGCTTTAAACGATTCCAAACGATGAATAAGGGTCTTATCAAGTGAAACGATCGCTCATTTAATAAATAAATAACAAAGTTTTATAAGCTCAAATGCTCGCCTTGCTCTGTTCTGTGACATACGTTTGTGACTCTCCTGTTCGAACTCGTTCATCAAAATGAACGAATCTTTTTCTGAGTCAGCTCGTTCGTTTCGTTCGTTGAATGAACCAAATGACTCGGAAAAAGATTCATTTTGATGAACGAGTTCATCATTTTTATTAAATGAAGGATCGTTTCGCTCGATAAGACCCTTATTCATCATCTGGAATCGTTTAAAGCCCTTTGAACAGTTTGCACTGAAAGTGTCTTTTTGACCTTGAACCGTTTGGTTACCAGTAAAGTGCGTTATATGGAGAAAAATCCTGGAATGTTTTCATCAAAAACCTTAATTTCTTTTCGACTGAAGAAAGGCTGTATTTATCTGATCAAAAATACAGCAATTCATTCCTGTGATGGCAATCTACAGTATTATTCGTGTCACATGATACTTCAGAAACCTTTTATATATGCTGGTTTCGGTTGATGCTCAAGAAACATTTCTCATCAATGTTAAAAGCAGTTGCTTAGTATTTTTGTGGAAAGTATAAACCTTCTTAATCTTATTAGATGAATATTAGTTTTATAAGGAACTAATTATTTTATAAGATGAATAGAAAGCTCAAAAGAGCAGCATTTATTGAATATTTTGTTCAATTATAAATATTTTCTCTAACTTTTGATGAATTTAATACACCTTTGCTAAATAAAAGTATTAAAACAATAGTGACTCCAAACTTTTGAATGGTATTGTGTACATATTTGTATCTATTGATAACTGCAATCATCACCCATATTTGAAATTTATAAAAAACTTCAAGTAGTCTGTTTGAATTTTTTTATTGATTATCACTTTGTAGACCAGATTGACTTCTAACCTGGACAAATCTAAAACTCAAGTTTTCTAAACAAAAACCCAAATGATTAGCTGTAATGGTGTGACTTTAGAACAGCAGTCTCTATTGTAACAAAGACAAGCATCTCTATTGTGTCTTCTGGGCTTGTGTCTGGATGTCTAATAAAAACGCTGAGGTCAAACCTTAGGTCATCCACTCATGACAGTGTTGTTGGCTCATACTTTCTGATGATTACTTTTCCAGTCTGTGGATCACAACATTTTTTCTTTTCTCACTGAGAGACCTGAGTAATGCTCCCTTGCGCAATATGTCATGTTAGTGATTCATTTCTGCTCTATGTTCTCATCATTTCTTAAACTTAAAGAGGATAGTTTTCTTTTATCACAATGTTACAATAAAGTGAACATATGACAGTCCGTTCATTACACTTGAAATAATTTCACAACTTTGGTTTGAGAAAATTTTATAACTTCTAAAATGAAAAAACTGGAAATATTCCAGATTTATCAATTTCTTCTATATAGGCCAATTGAAGCTTTCCATCTTGTTAGTGTTTTTTATAATTTACCTTTAACTAAGAAACCGGTTCATGAATGACATCATCTACCAGGAAGTGGCATCATTTTCAGTAGTCAAACAACAGCACACACATTCTCTGATTCTTTCATTAATTCTACAATACTCCATCCAGTTTGATAAAATAAAAAGAAATCTGTATTATATTATCAAAATCCAGCAGATGGCTAACTTTAGCTCTTTATTTCCATCCTGTTACACATTCTGTTAATATTACATTGTTTAAAATCAAGTTGAAGTTAAAAAACAGAGGATTTTTAGCTTCAGCAGAGCATTTTTCTGAAAGTCTAATGTAACCTTTTATGGAAGTACATGCTTACAGCACAAAAGCATATTCATGCGTTATAGAAATGACCCTGGATTAAATTCAAAATGTGTCAATACCCCAAGCAAAAGCTATTAATTTGGGCACGGAAACCTTTGATTTGCACGAGAGAAGATATTAAATCTGTTGCATTTGCCTGGAGAGCCCTAGTCAGTCCGCATCCAGGCTGCTGTTTCAGTCCTATCCATTGTTTGTTGGAGAAAGGAGAGCGGGTCAGAGGAGCTGTGTGAAGAGCCTCAGGGGAAGAATTACCCAGCAGCCTCCTACAGTTTCTTTACTTCCTGCAGACCATGGCCGTGCTACGCTTCAGTCTCACATGCTCCTGCGCTGGGCCTCTCAGAATGACAAACACCTCCGTCAAGCTGAGAAAGTCCCTGAGGGCCTTTTCATTCATAGACGTACAATAACAGAGCCAAGGGGTGAATAACTCCCAGTAAATGCTTTGCCCTCCCACAAGGTTGAAGATGGGAAGAACTCCGTGTTACTGGAGCATAGTGGCGAGACGGTCAGGTCCAGAGCCTGTGTCTCACGTAACGGTGAATCACTATGTAAACACAACTGTAGTGTTTCATTGGACTTTTGCCATTGTGTTCTGCCAGATTAACAGACAGTCTCATATCCTCTGGTACTTTTATATTAGGCGCACTATCAGCTTGCTCTGCTTTAAGTGGGAGGCATTTTCCCACATGATGGATTAGACTGATGTAAGAAGTGAGCTTCCTCTCCTGCTATAAAGGGCCATGGGAAGTTTTGACGGGAAAAACTCTTGAGAAAACAGAGTGACTGTCTGCACTCAGTGGAGCGCCCGGCATTCAGCTGTATCTGAAGTGCTGAAAAGCCCCTTGCTTTAATGAGTTGAGTGCTTATTGTTCAAGTTCAAGTGAGCTTTATTGTCCTTCCGTTATAAGCGGAGACCTACAAAGGAATAAAAATGCCGTGTCACAAAGGAACGTGGTGCTACACGTGTAAAAATATCAACATAGACGTACTGTCATGGGCGGTCAAAGAATCAAAACAATGAACCAGAGAATAATATGGAGGAAACACAACCACAAACACATTGACATCAAACAACCTTAAGTACAAGAGCGAACAAAGGGTCTAACAAAATCATTAACGAAACACACCTGAACTGACGAATCAAATCAATCTGTAACCATAGAAACAAACAGGCAGGGAATGGAGAACTGAACCATTTAACAAACTAACAGCAAACACTAGAATATAACAGAAAACTAAGGGGCTGTTTATACCACACCGTTTTCAACCAAAAACGTAACTTTTGACAATGGAGTTTTGGGTCCCTGAAAACGCAAAGTTTCGAAAACGGGTTTCAACGTGCAAGGTTTTGAAAACGGTCTACGTGTAAACAGCAAAAAACGCAAATCTGTAAAGACAATGCCCAGATAGCAAACTGACATTGAATCAACGTGGAAATATGACATCGAAACAACGTTGATCTGACATTGTTTTGCTCATCGAATTAACGTTGAACCAATGTCAGACGCGTCATTCTTTCAAAACTAACGGAAAATCAACTTGAAATCAACGCGTTGTTTCAACGTTATGAAAGCAAACCAATTTTCGATTTTCATTTAGCTTTGAAGAATGCCGCGTCTGACGTTGGTTCAACGTTAATTCGATGAGCAAAATCAACGTTGTTTCAATGTCATGAGAGACGTCGTTTCCACGTTGATTCAATGTCAGTTTGCTATCTGGGTGACATCATGCACATGCGTGTTACGTGTTCAGTCTATAGTGTTTCATCGCCATCTAATGGCCTGGCTACACACTACAGCTTTTCAGACTTTTTCGTGGGCATCGTTTTGACATTGAATGTACACGGAAAACTCAAAAGAAAAACGTCCCCGTTTTAACATAATAACCTATATAATCTACATATATAGCTATATGACATGGCCCATGTAAACATGACGTGCTATATAAACCTAGCTAACTTATTGAAAGAAGTAAATAAATACTTTTCATAAAACTTTAGACACACATTTGCAATTTTTAGATTTCTGCATTTAAATGCATTTTGATCATTTTGGCATAGCTTGGCATTCAATATTAGAATGAGGATGATGCAGTTGTCCTGGTAAAATAATGAAGAAGAAAAAAAAATTTTTTAGAAAAAAAAAACACATTTTTGCAAAGAAAATCTTATTAAAAGGTTCTCCCCAAAATCACAATTATATCACCATTTTTGGGTGAACTATCCCTTTAAGTAGTTTGGCATAATCTATAATAATTGTTGTTGTTATTATTATGATTTTTTAATATAATAATAATGCTTCCCTGCTTAATTAAAATGGTGTGACCAAAATGCAGAGACAAAAAACAAGAAATGATCCCTGCAGATCCTCAAGGTCAGTTAGTTTCTTAAAATACCTCTTTATGTCAAGATTAGTGACATATAATGTGAACCATAAACCATATGAAACTCACATGAATACAAAGAGTGTTCTTGTTGAGATACTTTTTTGTGAGATAGTCATATGTCCTACATTCAAGACGGCTCATCTGTCTAATGCTTATAAGCCTGTCATGCATGTTTGTGTAGGGCAAGCTTGTTTGACTTGCTTAGTGCATTGCAATAACAATATTAAAGTTTAAAATGAAAATTCAGTATTTTGTGTATAACATACGGTAAACTAAACCCCGATCGAATATAAATATGCTGTTGGTTTACACTATAAGGGAAAAACTCAGCTGTGCACCATGAGCCGAACAGGAAATGCACGCATATCTTAGAAATGAAGTTGTCACTTATATACTTTTAAAGCCTATAGCATACATCTGGACCCACTTGGGAGTCTGTACATTTCTATTATTTGTAAGTGCAAATTCCATTAATGTTGATGTGGGTGGAAGGAGCCTGTAGAGATGGATGGTCAGCGCTGAGCGCAGGCAAGCATGTGGAACTTATTTTGACCAATTCTCCAGCGAGACATGAAGTCCTACGTGCTGTGCCTGGGAAAGTGTATAAAAGGAACTAGTGTATGTAATTGTGTGTTTTTCCAATTGGAGTGCCTACATGAAAATGGTACTAATTATAGCACTGTTATTTTACAGTAAATAAAAGTAATTCCCTTGGATACTGTTCATGCACTGTTCGCCCAACTATTAACAGAAACAACGGACTGATGTCGATGAGTTCACACAATGAGCACCACATTGTTGAATGAGCTTTTTTAAACACTAGAGATTGTAAAACGGGCGGATTGATATTTTTGTCAACTTTTTTTGGTTTTTATTTATTTAGGAATATTGCAAGTGTTTTCATTTCTTTTAAACAAAATATTTCAAACAATATCAAACGTTTTTTGTCAATATCACCATCCTTTTATTTTATTTTAATGTCTCTATAGCTATTTTTTAATGCAGGTTTGTAAAATTCTCATCTATTTGACCCATTTTAAACCTCATACTGAGGAATGCAGGCCGGATGTAATGAAATGCTATTTTAGACCATCTGAAGGCTGTACAAAGCAAACATTTTCCTCAAGGACTATTGGTTTTATTATAAATAATGTTTAAAGGTTTTTGATGGATGATTCATTGGTATTGGTTTGACTACTTTTTTTCTATTTAGATACAAAACGCTGATGACGTCTTGATCACACCGCTGGAGAAGTTTCGCAAAGAGCAGATTGGAGCAGCCAAAGTAAGTTCTTCGACCCCATTGTGAGTTAATGCTCTGCATGTCAGCAGAAAGTAATTTTTACCTACCCTGCCCGTGACAGGATCCTATATGGTCAATATAGATCTGTGAAACCCTGCAGGAAGGGGGAAATTACAAACACCTGTTAAAAGCAAGAGCAGTTCAATTATACCCAGATACTGTAATGCCACATTGACCAGGATGAAATGGCCTGTGAGTGCTGTGCTAGAGGGCATGTTTATAACCAGACTCTAGTTAAAGCATTACTCTTTCTTGTGCTGCATGGGAGCCCTGGTGATCTGTGAATGCAACCCTTCCAGTCGTATTAGAAGAGCTGGAGCGCTGCCTGTTGAGCTCAAAGATCCATGGCCAAAACACTCCATGCCTTATTTGGGAGTTTTGGCCCGATGCTCTTCAGCAAGAGCTGCAAAGGAACTCGCCTAACTTAGACATTGAGACATGATGGAGGCCAATGGGAATGGCAGTCCGGCTGTTCAACATCCCGCACATATCCAAAACACTGTCTCATGCGATCTATTTCCAACTTAATATATGTCTTAATAACTGGAATAAAAATGCTGAATGAAAACCGAACTATAATAATGTATAGATATTCCAAATAATTGATGTTTTTTAATATTTGTGTATACGTTTTTTTGTTTGTTTTTTTGGAAATGTTTTTCAAATAAAGCTGCATTTTTGTGACCCGAAATACAGTAAAAAACGTAATATTGTGAATTATTATTACAATTTAAAGCAGCATTATGTTACTTTTGAAATTTTGCTCTCGGGGTCCCCCTACAGTTTGGAAACAGTATTGTCTTCTACTACTGTCGTAAAATCTAAGTTACACTAGGGAATACACGCGTGCACTTGTTGACAAGCGATCCCCCTGAACTCTGCAGAAAGAAGGAGTTCTCACATCTTGGGCAGACTCCAGTGTTGCTTGTGAAATGTCTTCATCCCATGTACATTGGCATTAGCATGTCTTATGAATATAGTGTCATGGGCTTTATTTTTTTTTCAAACGTCAAATAATCGCATAGCTCACGTTTACAAGTCAGCGTCTTTATAGTAACGTTAGCCTATTGGCTACTGTTTTCCATATGCTAATTCAATTCAATATTTGTTGGTAGATAATAGCCATGTCGTCAATATTATAATATCAAGCTACCATAGATGAATCTGCAAATTTGAGAAATCGAAAGTAAGACACTTTCACCAGAAAAATAATTAACAAACATGACTATCAGCCTGCAGACATGGGATAGTTATCCTGATCGATTATTTTGTTCGTCTTATCGTGTATTATTTACTTGCAAGAATGTAGCCCCTACCAAACTCAGTAATCCGTGTACTTTCACTTCTCGACCTGGCGAAAGCTGCCCGCCCCGGCTCTAAGGGGTTGCTTGAGTGTGTTAAGCGCCCTCAAAAGAATGCAATGCAGTCTACATTGGATGCGGCGAGGGACGAAGCTACACAACACATTGCCAACAGTAAACTGATCACGCGCGCACTCTGTTTCTGACACACTTTACATTTGCTTGGCGTATGAGGATTGATGCACCAGACCGGAGTCGGGGGACTTGCGTTTTTATGGAGTATTACGAATTGATGTTTTTAAAATAGTATTAGTATAAAGAAATCACTCATTCGCTCATTTTGGCGTACCCTATGGATGAGTGGCGCCAGCGAGCTAACGCTGGACCAATGTTGATCCTCGTCCAGCCTTTTATTTTGCCACTCTCCCTTTTTCTCTTTCTACTGTCCTCTGACAAAACCTTTGGCTTCTTGGTTTTACTTGCTGTTTCAGCCATGACAACATACAAAGGTTTAAAAAGAAGACACACGTTGGGCTCTCGCGTCGGAATTTGAGGAAGTGGCGTATGCCATAAAGCAGTCGAATTTTGTAGTTCTTTTTGAGCTCGGGTACCTACCCGCTCCCTGAAGTTACATAGTGCCAGTAAAAGCGATACAGACACTATCAGGCTATGGCAGACCTGTCTATCAACCTATTGTAAGTAGATGTACCATCTCAAGGGTTTTGGACAAATGTTATAAAGGTTGAAAAAGTTACATAGTGCTGCTTTAAAATAACCACTTTCTGTTTGAATGCATTTTAAAATATAATTTATTCCTGTGATAGCAAAGCTGAATTTTCAGCGTCTCTTCAGTGTCACATGATCCTTCAGAAATCAATCAAACATTTCTTATTATTATCAATGTGACTGTGACTTGTGACTGTTACTATCACTTTTGATTGTTTAAATGTGTTCTGGCTGAACTAAAGTATTCATTTATTTTTTTGAATGCTAGTTTCAAAACTTTTGTGAGAGAATGCAAAAGGTTCGATATAATTTTTCCTCCCATCTCATATCTTTTTTTCCCCATCACCTAGTCCCTTTAGGGGCTCCATTGTACACTGTATAAGGCTAACACATCTAAATTTGAAAGATTTACTTTGCTAATTTGCGTCTGTTACACTACTTTCAGAAGTGTTTCTTTAATGCAGAGAAAATATTTTTCTTGATAATTCCCTGCATGCATGTCTTTTTAAAACCCTTGAACAGAAAGAACACATTCCTAGAGAGAGTGATGTCATTGCTAGCCAGCAGATGGGCCTAGAAACTGGACTAAGCATGTCAAACATGACATTCCTTCCAGTTCGTTGTTCGGCAAGTCCAGTCTGTAGTTTAGACGGCGTGTCCATTAGAGGGTCATGGGAAAGGTTGGGTTGATGTCAAACAGGAAAAACAAACAGCTTCAAACTGGTTTCAGTTGCATTCTCGAAAAAAAATGATTCTCACTGCTGGAGGTCTGCAGCGCATAAACGCTTCGTACAGCGTAAATGGGGCAGTCAGTGCAGGCACAGGAAGTGGGGGTCTTTTCTACCGTGTAAACTTCTTTACTCTGCCTCATTTAGAGCCATAGGATGTCCTGTAGAATTAGAAATACGCACAGTGTTATGTTGTTGTTTTTTATCTGTGTTACATGTCATCGGCTGTATCACACTCTTCACTGATGGTATCTCAGTGACTAAGGCTGTATACATTCTGCACATGTCCTGAAGGACAAACATATTTGCTGGATCGTACTAGATTGTCAAATTATCCAGAATTGTTCTACTTTGTATTTCTACTGAAATTATGCTTTGTTAAAAAATATTTAATTAAAAAAAAAGTTAGTTGCGTTTAGTTTGTGACAGTATGTTTTTCTAATGTTCTAGACCCACACTGAATCTGCACATTTTCCTTTTTATATTTCACAATTTTTGTTCTGATTTTGGGTGTAAATAAATTTCGGCTCGACGGATGGGAAATTATTTTAAACACAGCTGTGCAGAATCTGCATCCAAACACTTCTTCAGAAAGCTACACAGAACATGTTGTAAAAGATCATTTCAAGTATAATAGCGTATACAAAACAACAAAAACAATCATGCTATCTGTGGAAATAAGTAGAATTTTATTGAAATAATTCAACTAAATATTGTGTAATAATATGTATTATATTTTAAATATGTAATAAAATAAATAAATAATGGCCATTTGAATTTGGTGGAAATCTGCAGGGCTTTCAGTAGAATATTTTGTTAAAGTTACTAACTATATTTAAAAGTCAAATATGAGTCTGCCATCTACTGGTTTTTAAATTTCATGATTTGTTTTTGAGCTATGGATTGGAAATAAACAAATAAAACGCATCATGTTTTAATGAGACTCTTACATGATGTTTGTTTACAAATCTAACGTGTTATATAATGCCTTATCTCTGCAAAAACCATTTATCACCAAAATTACAGAACAGGAAATTCCAACTCATGTCACTTTTCTTTCTTTTTTTTTTTTGGTAGGAAGGGAAGAAGAAATTTGATAAGGAGACAGAAAAATATTACACGGTTTTGGAGAAGCACCTAAGTCTGTCTTCCAGAAAGAAAGAGCCCCATTTGCAGGAGGTAACTTGAATGTTCATTTATTGCTTAAAAAATATCCAGAGTACATAGTATATAACATATTTTTTGGAACCATTTCCTTTACCCTCACCAAATGGTATGATTTATGATTTTTTTTTATAGGCAGACACCCAGATAAATAAGGAAAGACAGGTCTTCTATGACGCCTCCCTGGAATATGTTTTCAAAATCCAAGAAGTGCAAGAGAGGAAAAAATTTGAGTTTGTTGAGCCGGTAAGACACACTTATTTCCATTTCTGCAGCACTATGAGTACAGCTTTCTTTTGGGCTGATGGGAAATATGAAGACTTCCACTTACTGAGAGAACAGACGGCTTTTAATCTATTGGCACTTGTAACAGTGTTGTTTCCCTGAAGCACATGCCTATCAGAACGAAAATGATGATAACAGCCACATCCTGCACATCTGTCAACCTATAAATGGGTAGATGCTGCATGATTATGAGTGTGATACTGCTTCTATAAAACTGCCTCTGTCTTTTTCACAGCTGCTGGCTTTCCTCCAGGGATTGTTCACCTTCTACCATGAGGGTTATGAACTGGCGCACGAGTTTGAACCCTACAAGCAACAGCTACAGTTCAACCTCCAGAATGTAAGAGACTTCAGAGGATGTGGCCTGACATATCGGATTAAAAATGAGCCAACAAATACATACTGTTTAAATAAAAGCCACTGTGTAGATAAAATTGTTGATTGTGTGATGTATTAGAATATCCAGTATTTATTTCTGCACATGGAAGGAACTGTACTTTAGATTACAGTGATGCCCCTACAGAACCAACACTGTTGTTTTGATGTTCCCTCTGAAGACAAGGAATAATTTTGAGAGCACAAGACAGGAAGTAGAGAATTTGATGAGAAGGATAAGGTCTGCAGAGCAGGACTTTAAAGCTCCAGGACAGTGGACCATGGAGGGCTTCCTCTATGTGCAAGAGAAACGTGAGGATCCTCATAAGCAGTGTACATTTAGAATATTGATTTTCAAGTAGACTGTTAATATATATAAATTCATGTGCACTGATGATCACCTGTCTTCTGTTGAAGGACCATTGGGGTGCACGTGGAGTCGACATTACTGCACGTACGAGAAAGGGACCAAAATGTTTACGATGAGCAACTCTGAATTCAAGTCTGGAGGCAAACAGGTATTACATGTTCACAGACAATGCTTAAGCTAGTTCCAGACTAAAATGCAGGTTTGAGCTGTTTTATCTGAAAGCAACTTCCACTAACATATCTTATAATATGTCAATGCCATTCCTTTTCCTCAAAATGCACACCAGTAATGTATTTTAAGGTATCTTTATAAAAGCAACTTGAATGTCCTAATTGATCTAAGGCCTAATCCTGGCTTGATCTAAACCTTTCCTGTGAAACCGGGCCTAAATGTTATTAGCTTTATCTCTCATTAGCATATTTTGATTTCTTTTGTCTTCCATCGATAGAATGGACTGATCTTGAGTCCCCCTGAGATGTTTAAGCTGAAGTCCTGCATCAGACGGAGGACGGACTCTATTGACAAGCGATTCTGCTTCGACATTGAGGTGGTGGAAAGGTGTGTGGAAAGGCTGTATTGAGAGAAATTTGAGTGTTACAGGAGATTGTTGTGTTTAAAGGGATATAAAATAAATTTACATCAAGGTCATTTAAGATGTTGGTGTCTTTTTTTTCCACGGTAGTTTCAATTTTGATATTTTTAGGTCAAACCTTTCGTGTCAGTCATATAATGGAGGTCTATGGGGTCCACCTCAAAGAGCATGCACAGAGAAGTCCAGATTAAACATGATTTAATGACTCATAAATGTAAGTACACATTGATGGCCTAAGACACAAAACGAGTGGTTTGTGTGAGAAAACGAACAGTATTTATATCGTTTTTACCTCTTGTTACCATAGCCATGAAGCGCCCGCGCCCTCAGATCACTTGGATGTGGCTGTGGTTACAAAAGGTAAAAACGATATAAATACTGTTCGTTTTCTCACACAAATCACTCGTTTTGTGTCTTAGGCCATCAATGTGTCTTTACATTTACGAGTCATTAAATCATGTTTAATCTGGACTTCTCTGTGCGTGCTCTTTGAGGTGGTGACCATAGACCTGCATTATATGACTGACAGACATGAACGGTTTGACCTAAAAATATCAAAATTGAAACTACTGTGGAAACAAAGACACCTACATCTTGGATGCCCTTGAGGTAAACTAAAACGTACCAAAAATTTATTTCAAAGTGAACTATCCCTTTAATGCTCGCTTCGGTCTGTCATTTTCAACACTCTCTCCTTCATTCCATCTCTTCTTTTCTCTCCTCATAACTGAAGAGGCAAACCCTGTGAAGGGCTTCTGTTCAGTTATCTGCAATGTTTCTATAAAGCCCATCGGTACGTTGCACTTTTATCCTGAGCTGCTGCCGTGTTCTAATAATATCACTTTTAATAAAAAACGAGCTAATGTGCTATATTAAAGGGTGTGTTCACACTCTGGTAGGAATGCTCTGTTAATGCAGCTCATTTGAATACATTTGAACACTGCTGACCAAACAAGCAGACCAAGACCCACATGTTCAGGGAGTCTGAAAATGTCTTTTCAGGTGTCAGATCTGCGTATTCTTGCAGCAGATCTTCTTTTGTGTGCAATGGAGGAATTCCTGGCACTGTTTTGACTCTTGATAAACTCTTTTTGCGTTCTCAGCTGGTAAATACCATCATATACAGTATACGCACATGTAATGAGTGCATTTAGGCCGCAAACAGCGTTGTTTGGAATGTTCGAGAAGTTCAGTCACAAAATTTACGTCATAAAAGCGTTTTTTGTGTGTGTGTGTATTTATGTTCAGTTTTAAAATGACCAGGTTTTTTTTTTTATCCAAAAACAAACAAACAAGAGAATCCAGCTGTGTGAACGCACCCTAAGTTACTTTTTAATGCTATGTAACAGTTGCCTAAACATACTAAACAAAAAGTTTAGTTTAGTATATATCACAACTTACAAAAAAGACGTGTGTTTGATTTATTTTTGCATTAATTCGGTTTGCAACCTCACAACTCAGATTAAATATGATTTTTTTATACCATGTTGGAGCTGTGAATGGCAGTAAAGAAACAAAAATATATATTTTTGCTAATTTGTTTGCAAGCTTTGAAAACCTCTCATTAGCCATAGGCATGATGCTTAGAGCTTGATTCAAAAAAGGTAATAAATAAACAGATAAATTCTCCAAAATCCACCTCTCATCTTACACCAGAAGTTAACATCTGTCAATCTGTCCCACAGGCATGGTATCATCACCCTTCAGGCTCTCTCTGAATCCAACAGAAGGCTGTGGATGGAGGCCATGGACGGAAAAGAGCCGGTAAGGGCAGCCGCCCAGCTGACGCTGCTCAAAATGAGACTCTGCTCTCGGTTTGATAAACATATGTTTGTTCATAGTGCAAGAGCTTCATTTTAAAGTAAGGCTTTCTAAATCATGATAAGATAAGAGTAAAAGACTGTAAAATAAAGGTAGGTCCAACCAATGGTGTAAGTCAGAATTATCTGTTTGGGTGACCAATGACAGACAAGGAAACCCATTTTTCCGGCCATTATTTTTTACTTTTAAGAGTTTTTCTTTCTCCCCTTTCCCATTATAGACACGTAATTGTTGTTATAGAGGCTCTTTGAACTCCAGGCAATGAATAGTGTACACATGGACAGGAAAAAGATGACAGCTGAGAATTTACACTGCGCTAATGACTCTTTGTTTTGACTCTTATACTGTCAGCTGTAGTTGATTGGCTTCAACTCATTTGACCCTCATTGCACTGCTATTATTTAGTTGAGTTTGTGAATTTCTTATATACAAAGGATTATTAGTGGGTGTATGTTTATAGTATGAAACTATAAATTGTATTTTGTATATACGGCCCTATAATTTATCTCCTAAAAGAGATATTGATTATGCAATATAATGCATTAATGCATATGCTTTAAATCACATTTATATTTAGTGTTTTATAAACATATGGTGATTTCTTCTAGATTTACACCCTTCCAGCACTTCTGAGCAAGAAAGAGGAAAGTAAGTTCTATTTAATTGTCATTTGTGGTGTATATACTGTAGAGAATAAATGGCATTGTTTATTTATAAGACATAAATAGTTCACCTGCATTAGCATTAGCTTAATTTTTATGTAACATACACACTTTCTGTCCACAGCATTCCTAAATGAAGCAGGCTTTAATTTTGTAAAGAAGTGTATAGAGCTTGTGGAAACTAGAGGTGAGTCTCTGCATCCTTTTCACTTAATTTAAGTTTTGCATTACATATATTATGACATGTGTTATGTAAAAAAAATAAATGAATACTGCATTACATATATTATGACTTGTATTATGTATTCATAAATAAATTAATACTTTTGTTAAACATGTAAAAATCGATTAATCGTGATTTATCGTATCTAACATAAAATTCTGTTTACAAAATATGTGTGTATTATATGTGTAAACACAGACTTTTATGTTAGATGCAATTAATAAGGATACATTCAATTTATCAAAGCGTCAGTAAATGCTTTTACATGGTTAGAAAAAGTTCTGTTTAAAATAAATGTTTTTTTTTTATTGATTACTGAGAAGTGGATTCTGAAAAAAATCAGCTTTGCATTAATAATATTTTGCAAAAATGTATTTATGATCAAATAAATGCAGCCTTGAAGAGCATAAGAGACTCTTTCCAAAAAATATCACTGACCTTAAATTTCCAAACAATTATGAGTTTCATGACTTCAACTGAATTGAATCAGATTAAATCAGTAACAGTAAATACATGAATTAACTTTAAAAAAAATAGAAATAAAATATATATAAAAATATATATATATATGTTTATTTAGCTATTAAATAAACAATTTTTTGTATTAACCTACAGAATATTTGACCTTTTATTGCATTGAATTTCTTAGAATGCAAAAACTGTATTTTCCCTTTCATGTCTAGGCATTAACACAATGGGGTTGTACAGAATTGGTGGAGTTAACTCTAAAGTCCAGCGATTGATGACCTCAGTGTTTGGTACGGTAATCCAGAAATCCAGTACAATAGAATGCTTTCTTTTTTGCTCACAGAAACCAGATAAATGTATATACATGAAGACTTTAACATAATGCCATTTTTGTAATATTGTTATAAAAAAGGATTGTTTGTTAGAAATACACACTATTTTCAGTAACCTTAAGCATATGTTTTTGAAGCCAAATTCCATTTAATATGAGTTCATTTGACCCTTCCAGCAGCCAAAGCTCCTGCAGATATGGACCTTGACCCAGACACCTGGGATAACAAGACCATCACCAGTGGCCTGAAGAATTACCTCAGGTTCATAAATAATTGCCATCATTTTTACTTTTTGAAAATGGCATGTTATCGAGGAAAAAAAAGTAAGTCATTCTGTTCCCTACAGGTGTCTGGCAGAACCTCTCATGACTTACAGACTCCACAAAGACTTCATCATGGCAGTCAGTGAGTTCGAGCATGTTCTGTCCTCGATAAACTCTTCGTCATGGCCATCTGTGACTTGTTTATTTAATGATAAGATGCCTTTGGATTGCTTTTTTTATTTTTAGAGTCTGATGATCAGAACTACAGGGTCTGTGCTGTTCACGCCCTCGTCCACAAGCTCCCCGACAAGAATAAAGAGATGCTGGATATTCTGATAAAACATCTACATGTGTATGTAGCTCTAGTTCTTGAACATTTAAGAAGAAACTGCACGTCTAGTACATTGGTTCACGAGTGCACTTTAAATTCCACAAGGTGGTGCTAACCGTGGTGTTTTTAAACAAAACTGTTCTGCTGTTTTTGACAGGGTTTCCACACATAGTCAGAAGAATCTGATGACCGTGTCTAACCTGGGTGTGATTTTTGGGCCGACACTCATGCGCTCTCAGGAGGAGACAGTTGCTGCCATGATGAACATCAAATTTCAAAATATTGTTGTAGAGATCCTGATAGAAAATTATGATAAGGTGATCATTTAAACAAACAATTCTCTTTAAATAGACAGCATGCTGATAGAGGAACAAATTAATTAATAAAATATGACAATTGCTTATCTGACCACTAGTTTTACCAATAAAAGGCTTTTCAACAAGGTTGCACCAATATTTAAAATTCTGGACGATAAATAATTCACGTTACTGCCAATAACCAGTAAATATCAGATATTACAATTCTATAACATTTTGCCTGAATAAACTCTAAATAAAATAAAATGTAATATAATGTATGGAATGAAACATGGATATTCATTTGATAAAGATTAAATTTAACAATGTTATTAAATTAGTGTTTTTATGTTAAGTGAGCATTAGATTACAGCAATGGTAAAAATAATAATAATTTTTATATCAGTGGATATTCAGCAAGGGCACATTAAATTGATCGAAAGTGACAAAAGAGACATTTACATATAATGTTACAAGTAAATAAATTAAATCGAATCCTGAATAAACTGCATCACAGTTTCCACAAAAATATTAAGTATAATTATTAATATAATATTCTAAATATAATATTCTGTTTCTTGAGCAGCAAATCACATCATATCAGAATTATGTCTGAAGGATCATGTGACACTGAGTGATGATGTTGAAAATTCAGCTTTACCATCACAATTACATTTTAAAATGTAATATTTCACAATATTACTGTTTTGACTGTATTTGCATCAAATATATGCATCTTTGATGAGAATTAGATACTGTATATGGTACATTGTTACTTCTCAACTCCAAATATGTTTTTGTATATAGTTTTGCTCATCTAATGCAGATGTTCTTTGGTTGGATCAAAACACTCATGGTATCTTTTTGTCTTTTTTCTTCTTAGATATTTCATCAAGCTCCAGACCCGAACGTCCCCCTGCCACAGCCTCACTCTCAGTCTCGAGCCAGTGCCAGTGCCAGTGCCCGCCGCAGCAAAGCCATCTGCCTGTCCTCAGGGTCCCGTAAATCCAGAGGCCTGTACCCTCCCGCCCTGTGCCTGGCTGATGCTGACAGTGAGTCTCCCCAAAAACAGGCATTCAGTCCATCTGTTAGAAGAGTCAATTTAACCCCTTCTCTCCATCAGGTGACACGTTCAGCAGCAGTCCGAGTAGCACTCCCATGGGCAGTATGGAGTCTCTCTCGTCACACTCTTCAGAGCAGAACAGCTGCTCGAAGACGGGCTCCCCATCACGTTCCAAACACAAGGCGTCAGGGACACTGTGCTGGACCACTTCATCTCCCTCCTCCAATGGGCCCAAAAGCCCTCCTTGCCCCGCCAGCCCCGATTCCAGCTCCAAAGAGGACGCCAACAAGACTGATGGAGAATGGGAAGAAGCACTGAGTACAAGCCCTGGAGATCGAAGCTCTCTGGCTTCAGAGATCCTCCAGAGGACCCTTGGAGAGACACTGGAGGATCACGGGGAAGAACGACGCAGTCTGTCCACCTGCTCTTCTCTCACTTCACTACACATTTCTGAGGGTAAGCGAGAGTACGTTTAGCTGCATTTTTGCACAATGTGGAGGCAAATTGACGAAATCCTGCATCTTATCACCCTTCAACAGAATACAGATTTTTCTTGTGTTTTGTTATTTTTATCAATTGTTTTTGTATAAGTCGATATGGTTTTTATTCAATTTGATTTCAGTTTTAGTAATTCTAGGACATCAAGTTAAACTTAAAGGGGTGGTAAAATGCCATGTCCCTGATGTCCCAAGATTCTCTGATGTCCCCAGAGTGTGTGTGTGAAGTTTTAGCAGAAAATACCCCACAGATATTTTTATATTTCGTTAAAGTTGTCACTTATTGAGGGTTTACAAAAATGCACCGTTTTGTGCCTGGCCCTTTAAATGCAAATGAGCTGCTGCCGAGGGCGGGGTTCAAGAGCTCACGTGTTAGCAGCTGCGATTACCTCATGCAGACACACTAAATGACAGAAACTGTTCTCCTTTTAATGTTAAAATGGAGTCTCCATCAAAGATGGAGAGACTCAAGAAGAAGTGACAACATGTAGAATGCAACAGGACGTCTCTGAATGGTTAGTTGATGAATTTATGTTGCTGATGTGGAGTTAACTATCTTCAATTAGGATATTCTGTCATGTAATCTATAAATCGCTCATATAGGAACTGTTGTGAGTGACTTTCTATTGCATGTGAATAAAATGGATGAAATTTGAGCTGACTCACAAATGTACTCTTACAACCACTCTTCCTCTTCTCAACATGGACTGCGTGTTCCCGGGGGCGGGGTTTATGTACATTTTGGGGTTGCTGATGTCACTAACCCTGGAGGAATGTCGTGTAGTCTCTACCAGCCATTTGTTGTAGTCCTTTTCTTTAAAAGCATATATCTTCCTTTGCTTTGAACTGTGAGCGTTGTGACTTTGATACTGTTGTTTATGCTCAAACAGCAACATTACACACTAACTAAAGTTAGAAAAGTGAAATCATCCTTTACCACCCCATGTTTTAGTTTAAGTTGATTATAAAATCCTGCTCCCTAGTCTCTCCCAAGGCCTGTTAGCCTTGACTACAGAAAGTAGTACAGAACAAACATTGTTCACTAGTTCCCCCTTGCGGCATTAGGCTACGGAAAGCATTTGACAAAGGATACATTTTCCAAGACATGATGATTCACACACACATATACGTTTTTTTGGCAACGTTCAGGTTTCAGAAGCTGTCACGGCTCCGTCCAGAGCCTGGTGTCACGTGGTCAGAGAGACAGTCTCAAGTCCCTCCATCTGCCTGATCTGCCTCCTAAAGAGAGCGTGAGATACAGAGCTGACTCCTCAGCGAGCAATGGCTACCAGAGACCGGGATCTGTGTAAGTAAAAACCTTCTCAGTGAACATCTGTCATAATGTAAAATCAGTTTGTTACACTGATCTCAGTTGATATCAAATGTGCCATGCTTTTATCCCCCAGTGTGGCCTGCCGAGCAGCAATCTTTGAGAGTCCTGTGATTTCACAGCCCACAATGGGAAGGTAATGAGCCAGATTAATTGTATTGTTAAGTGTTATTTATTATCATTAGTGCTGTCAAATTGATGAATTGCCATTTAATTGCATCTAACGTAAAAGTTTGTGAATATATATATATATATATATGTGTGTGTGTGTGTATATACATATACACTTAACGTGTATATGTATTTATATATATATATATATATATATATATATATATATATATATACAAGCTTTTATGTTAGATGTGATTAATCGAGATTAATTGATTTGATTGCAGTAATTATTATTACTTATTTCCATGTCTAAACGGTATCTGCAAATGTTAAAATGTGCATAGCTCTAAGAGAAAGACTCTAAAGTTGTGATCAGATATTATTAATGCTATGTTATATCTTATGGGGTTAACTCTAAAGTCTATTCTTTGTCCTGTAAATTTTACACTACTTTTCAAAAGTTTGCGGTCGATTTTCAAAATGTTTTCATTTATTTGATCAAATATACAGTGAAGCAGTAATATTGAGAAATAATATTAAAATAGTTTTCTATTTTAATATTTTGAAATGTAATGTGTTCCTGTGAAAGGGATTTCTGTAAATGTCAGGTGTTGTTAGTTGTTATGTTTTTTCCAGCCCTTCTTACTTTGCAAATTAATAAAAAAAAAATTGTTGTAATATGTTTAAAAAGGCAATTGGTCACTGAAAACAATCTTTTTAAATGACAGACATTGAAATGTTCTGTAATTTGACCGAATTTCTTGATATTGTGTGTACTAAGAACAGCCAAAGGTTAAGTGTTGTTGATGCTGTCAGGGATGTTGGTGAGTTTCCTCATTGTTCAATTGTCTCCCTCTGGTGTTTTTACAGAGAAGCTAAAGCCTTGTTTTCCTGTCAAGCGGAGCACAGTCATGAGCTCAGCTTTCCTCAGGGGGCGCTCTTCTCCAATGGTAACCACACTCTCTGTTCAAAACTTTGCTTTGTGTACTGTTGCCAAGGATACAGTTTGAGCTATGAGCCTGTACTTTACTTTTGTAAGGAAACACAAAAGGCTATGTAAAATGTTGTCCACTCAGTTATTCTGCTTTTAACTCTTTATTGTTATGTGTTTGTCTTAATGTCCATGCAGTGTATGCTTCGGTGGAACCTGGCTGGCTCCAAGCTACATATAATGGCAAAACTGGACTCATCCCAGAGAATTATGTGGCGTTCCACTGATGGGGCCAGACAACGCACAAGCAAAGTCCATGGTATCCATGGTGTTCATTTCTGCAAAAAAAGGGACCATTTATATGTACATTGCTACCTTACTGTATGTAAATCGTTTTAGCATAGCATTCTAGTTTTTGCATATTATTATAACCATATCATTAACCATTGCATTTGATCAAACTTATTCAGGATGTAAATATCACCTTTGTCCTAAATGTACAGTAGATTTTATTATCATCTAGGTACATGCAGTTGACTTCTGTATTTATATGAGACCCATAATACTGATGGTCTGTAATATTTTAAAACTGATCCGTGTTTTGCTACGGCTCTGAAGGAAATATATAGAGGGAGAATTATTCCTGTGCCATATGCATTAATTAGCGACCATATTAAGTAGCAGAAGATATTGTATTGCCCAATCTGACATATGTGAAATTGTTAGTAGTATGTTTTATTGACTTTCTTTTCAGTGATGCCAAAAGATCAAGCATTTCTGGTAGATGCCGGTCATCTTTCATTTCATTAACTGTTGAATCTTTTAGGTGAAATCGATTAGTTGATACTAATTTTTATTTAATACAATTTCAAAGGGTTAAATAGAAAATCGGTACCTCTGAATAGTCTTTTTTTTTTTTTAAAAGAACCTTCCCCCCTCCACAAATTTCAACAAAATACATGAATGAAATGACTTTAAGAGCCAAAAAATGTTTCTTATATACTTATTTTATTGTACTAATATACTGTCAATGTTGTAAAACAGTGTAACAAAACAAAAGTTATTTCAAAATTTTAGCTTATATTGTTAGGTATAATATAGTGGAGTTTGTTTAATGAAATACAATATAAAAAAGACAAAATACTTCTCTGACAGTGTTAAACGTTGTAGATTGTTAAAGTTATAATTTGTTATAGTTTGTGCTCACAAAAAAATGCAGTTTTTCCAACTAATGGCTCTGCTGTATATTATTGTACACTGGTTTACCATTTCCATATGTTGAAATGGAAAAAGGAATTGCTATACAGATTATAAAACTAATTATTAACATCATTTACAAAGTAATTTAATGTGTGATGATTTTCTTATAAAGCATTTTTTTACTAATAAAATGGCATTCATGTCTGTCTATCTATCTATCTATCTATCTATCTATCTATCTATCTATCTATCTATCTATCTATCTATCTATCTATCTATCTATCTATCTATCAGTCTTTGCCACCTCAGTTTACATCTAAAAGTTATCCTCAGTTTTGCATTCTATATACACTGTTGAGAGGATATGAAAAGTGACAAAAAAACATCCACATTTAGAAATGTGAAAACATTACTTCACTTTGCTTTTGTACTGAACTCTGAACAGTACATCAGTATGACACATTATTACAAATAATATCTGACTATAAAGTAAACTTCCCCTGTGATATCATTTGCTTGTAAACGTGGGTTTTTCCTGTGCTTTGGATGGATATGAGGTGCTTATCTCTGACATAATCATCATTTTAAGGACCTTTAACAACAATGTCCATATATATATTCGAAAGTCCAAGGACCAGCGAAGTGATTTCCAGAACAGAATTGCAATAATCAGATTTCCATTGACGTTACAACATTTGAACAGCAAGGACAGCAATTGACTAATGTGGTAGATATTTTGAAATGTACATGTCGTAAATGTTCATGAGTTCCTCTCATGCTCAGTTGAGACTTAACTGTGACCTGAACAGAAATGTTCTTGTTACACAAAAAGGAGAAATTGTGGAGAAAAGGAATATGACATTGAAAAAGTGGGTTGTCCAATTATAGTTTATCTCATAACATAATAAATCATTAAACATTTTGTGTTTGAACAGGACTTTAACCACCGATTTCACAGACAAGTCTTAAGCCTACTCTTGGACTAAAATGCAAGTTTGAGCTGCTTTAACTGAAAGCAACTTGCATTGACATTTCTTAAAATATGATTGTTTTGTCTCAAGAGTCAAGATGCACACCAGTAATGATTTTTTTCTCATAAGGCATGTTTATAAAAGCTTCTTAAATTTCTTAATTGAACTAAACCCTAATGCTGGCTTAATTTAAGCCCTGTCTGTAAAACCAGGCCTATGTAATTAAGGAAAAATTATGTTAATATATCTGATAATGTGATCACATTTGTCATTAGAGGTAATTTCCAGCAACAGAATATTAGGTAACACTTTATTTTACAGTCCTGTTCCCCATGTACATACTATGCACTTATTTAAAATAATTATAATAACTAGGTACTAACCCAGAACCCATAGTTATACAGTACTTTCCTAGGTAAGTGTGTGTGTATATATAAAAATATATGCACAATTTACTGTTAAGATAGACCTTTTATATATATATATATATATTAAGGTCTATCTTAACAGTAAATTGTGCATATGTATCATACTATATATATATATATATATATATATATATATATATATGGTCTATCTTAACAGTAAATTGTGCATATGTATCATACTAAAAACCTTTGTTCAGTAATGTAATCACCAAAACAAAAACACAGAATATCAGTTCTTCACAGTCACGGAAAGATCAGCTGTTAAACCAGCAGGCCAAGGTAGAGAAGCATGTGAAACCACATGCCGTAAATTGAATTGCTTAATAAATAGTCGAAAATATGCTTCTGTAAAATAAAAATAAAAACACTGCTGTCTGACTTCCTTAGTTAGACTTTAGTATCAAGCAGTCCTGAGAGAGATTTGTTTCAATTGTCCTCACTAGCTTCGCTAGCTCCTCCATGTTGTTCGACTTTTCCTCCAGCAGCTCATAGCGAAGGCTTGAAATGTCCTGCTTAATCTCCTTCAGTTCACCTGTAACAAAGCATTCTTCAGCCATCATTTCAAAAGTGAGGGGGACAGAATGTCAAGTGTAATACCTGTTTTTTTTTTCTTCAGACTTTTGTTGACAGGTTTTTGCTTATAATATACCATTATTTTTAAAGCAATAAAACAGAAATAAAGTTGTCCAGTACTTTATATTGCACATGCAAGTTTTTTCCTGGCTTAAAACGAGGCGGAGGATCTTTCGAATCCTTTTCCGAGTCGTTTGGTTCATTCAACGAACGAAACGAACAAATTGACTCGGAAAAAGATTCGTTCATTTTGATGAACGAGTTCGAACAGGAGAGTCACGAACCTGCATCACAGAACAGAGCAAGGCGACCATTTGAGCTTATAAAACTTAAACTTTGTTATTTACTTATTAAATGAGCGATTTTTTCGCTTGATAAGACCCTTATTCATTGTCTGGAATCGTTTAAAGCCCTTTGAACAGTTGTAGTTTGCACTATAGGTATGAATGAACTGCTCGTAAAAAAATTCCCGTTCGACATTTGTTAAGACATCTGCTTTAGAATGGTTATGATAAACATTACAATGCTCATGATAACTTTTATTAACTCTACAATAAGTAAATCCACTTCACCAGCTAATTACTCCTCGACAGCGATGCCATAGAAATATACAGAACCGGAAGTTCAAAGACAATATTCTAAAGATGACGGCGCCCACGTTTCTCTGGTCTATATGGAGAAAAATGCTGGAATGTTTTCATCAAAAGCATTTCATTAATTTCTTTTTGACTGAAGAAAGAAAGACATGGACATCTTGGATGATATGGGGGTGAGTAAATTATCAACAAAAGTTGTTTTTTTAAACTGAACTAATCCTTTAATTAATCTATTAGAGTCTTTATTAGTTGCAGTAATCATTAATTAATGGTTTAGTTCTACACGAGTCATACATTAACTCATGACTATCTGTGTATTAGTTAAACATGAATTAATGCATATTAGTGTACCCGTATTGTAAAGTGTTACCCCTTTTCTTCTTTTTTTTTTAAATAGATACCTTTTTTTGCTCAGACCATTAATTGAGTTAATAGTGACCCTGTGTAACCAAAAAAAAAATATTAGTAGGGTTAAATACACACTCACCCTCATTGACTTCATCACATTCCTTGTCATTTTGAGCTTTGATGATGTATCGCTTAACGAGACGCTTCATAATTTTCTGTACAGATCAAATGCAGTAAGTTCAATCACAAATTCAAATGCAAAGAGCCAATCTGATCCATATTCAGATTTATTATAAATATTCAGTGTATGAAAAAAGTAAACATGCCTGATATCGACTGGAGCCTGTAAGATTCTTCTCCCTGCAAGCTTTGCTCTCTCCCAACTTAATCCAACAAATCACAAGAGCAACATAAGTATTAGTTTATTGTGATTGTAAATGAATGATACACATTGACAACTTCTTTGTTTACTCTAATGCAGGATCAGAGGGGATTTACCTCACCTCACTGAGCTCAGACCCCTTCATAATGGCTTTGTGTCTGTCAAAAATCTCCTTCAAGAGACTCTTAGACCCCATCACCAGACCCAGAACAGACTTAGGACTGGGAACCAAGTTAAAAGGTACAGGGAGAGTCCTGCCCTCCTCAAAGTAAGTGAACCAGAGCTTGGCCCGGGCAAACTTCCACTCCACATCTGCATCATCCTGTAAGATGCCAGGATAACACTAATGTTTTGAATGCTTAAAGCGATAAATAACTCAACACAGATATGCAGAGGGAAAAGAAATGATTTATTTCAATTAAAACTAAGCAGTCAAACTAATTATCTCATCCTGAAGAGAATAGAGATAACATTGTTTTTTTTCCATAATATGAAAAAACCTCTTCACTGCAGTGCTTCATCAGCAGCACAAAGTCTTAAACAGAGATTTACAGATCCCATTTGGTCCACTGCCCAAAGACTTATAATGTCAGCAGCTCTTAGAAAGCAATATGAAAAAGTTAAACTGAGAAGACATAAATTACCTCAATCTCCTGAAAGGAACTGTTGATCATGGCAATGAGCATGTTGAGTAGGACGATGACCACTGTGACATTGTAAACTCCATAGAGAACATAGCCAATGTTCTCGATGAACTTGTGTCCATTGTTCACGATTACAGATCTGACCTCAGAAAGGCCAAAGATTGCCCAAAACAGTGTTTTGAAGCTTTCTTCTACACTACAAAGATAAAAAAGACATGTATTAATGTACGTTTAAAGTTTAAACTATCCTGTTTTCAAAAGAGATGTGTTACTTTCGACAACTACGACATGTTAAACTATACCGTTTAAATGTTTGGTGTCGGTAAGATTTTGTAAGGTGTTTGAAAGAAGGCGGCATTTATTTGATCAAAAACATTATTTTAATTTAAAATAACTAATTTTTATCGGATTATACTTTAATATATATATTTTTACTCACGTTGTGAAAGCTTCATTCTGTTTAGCACCCCGATAATATGAGTAGAGGTTGAACATTCCAATCATGAAAGCCAGAAAGACTAGGATGAAGATAACCATGAACTTGAAGATGTCCTTCACAGTTCGTCCCAAAGATATCTGCAGTGGTCCGAAGCTCTCATTCGCTGGCAGGATGTACGCAATTCGAGAAAAGCTCAGGACCACTGCGATGGCGTACAAGCCCTCTGAAACTAACTGAGGATCAGACGGGAGCCAGTCGATCCGAGCTGGGATAAAAAAAAAATATAATTTATGCAGATTGCTTGTTGTTTCACGATGTAATTTTGTGGGTAATTTTGTGGGAATCACTCACCCAACTGGTAGTATCCCACCTCAAGGGGCAAAGTTACATTGGTTAAATCGGTGTAGTGCTCATCAACATAGCGTTGTGCTTCGCATGCATGCCAGAAAGCCATTATCCTTGAGATGAAGGATGCCACAAAAATGGCCAACATTCCGAAATCAAGCATATTCCAAGGCTCAAGCAAATATTCTCTCGGACCTTGAGACCAGATCTCCTTACACTCAGCCCAAATCATCCCTGAGAGAAGGACATTAAAACATAGAAATGAGTGCTTGTCCTAGGACATGGAAATTAACTGTACATTTTGTTCTCTAAATACAGATTGTAGTAGAGTAGTAACCTTTGACAAGTTAAAAATCAGTCAGAAACAAACCTATGACCCAGGAAATGATGAGCATTTCCATCCACGTAAACGGAGTTGTTTTCATACGAAACAGCTGCGTTGGATAGTCATGAATGGTCATATTTGGAAGCAGCTTGGTCCCATCAAAGCGGTCTGCAGCGTTCATGACCAAAAGGCCAAGGAAAATAGTGAAGGAGGCCGCGTGTGCCACAAACTTAAGGAAAGGCCCACGCATGATCTTTCCCATCTGTTGGTAACAGCATTTTTTACTGATTGTGGTGTGATAAACACAATACTTCAAATTCTGGATGCATTCTTCTTTTGTGTATTTGTACATTATCAGCCTGATACGCTTATCAACATTATTATGACTCATAGGATACGGTGGATATTTTAAGCACTGCTATAATTTACAACCATGGGAACAGTCTTTCTGAGTAAAGATTTCAGTGAATGATTAAACCCTTTAGACATGTACTGTATGTTTGCTATGCAATGCTATGCATACTTTTGTGTGAACATACACTCACCTTGCTGCATGGTGCCACCCAATACGTCATAGCTAGAAAGGGGAGTCCAATTGCAACACCTAAAACCACTAGAAACTTAATGGCTGTGGTCTGCTGCCTGAGTCCAGGCAGGTTTTCGTACCATATTGATAAGAGCTGTTGTTGACAGTTAGGATGGGCCACAAACTGTACAAATTGACAAATTGATTAAAAATCAGTGTTTTGTGGTAGAATTTGAAGGCAGATTATAAGATTTCTGTTTTTTGTGTATTTACCTTTTTCAGTTCGTACTTTATTGCGAGTTTTAAGCGAATGAGACTTGGTCGGTTGGGCAGTTCTAAAGTCTCGTCCTCTTCGCCGTTCAGAATGGCCTCCACTTCCTCTGTGCTCCGGCACAGGTCCAGAAGCCCCACAACAAAGTCTTTGCATTGCATAGACAGTTTCCTATATTCATTCTGAGAAAGATAGTTATTACAAAAAAATGCAATCGTTCTACATTTTTAAAGGAATAGTTCATCCAAAATGAAAATTCTGTGAGAATTCATCTGTGGAACACAAAAAAGACAAACGTTGAAGAATGTAATGGCCGTTGTGCTCCAAAATTACAACAAACCAGTATAAAACAATCATGACTTCCTTCAACTTGTGTTTTATATTCCAACTAAGCCTTCAAGAATCTATATGTTTGATTTATGCGATGAACAAATTTAATTGGTTATCTTTTCCTCCGCTGTAGTTGTCATGTGTACTTTTAGATATTCTAATATACATAATGGCGTCAGTGTTGATTGGTCACACAGCACACCACTGTAAAACCTGCTGCCACAATTTAGATTTTCAATAAATTACTTAAATTTCAGCCTGCCCTTGCGAAAAGTATAAAGTACACTTTACAATACTTTTAAACAGAATTCTTATAACAGAAATAATACTTTAAATGAATATACTTTACTTAAGTCTGATTTGTTTTCAGACGCCTAACTGCTACAAGTGAATTGCAATTAAATGAAAATGTATTATAGTTTATATTTATATTAAATGCAATTATCTGAAATAATAGCTGCTTTTTTGACCCACTTAAATAAGACTTGATTAAATCTGTAAATGTAATTTCATAATTACTTCTATTGTCTTTGAAATATGGTTAAAGTGTACTGGTGAGTGTTACAGTACAAACACAGTTACAGTAGTGGGATTGAATTTGAGATTGAATAAGTGCACAATATGAATCATTTTTTTTTGAATAATGAATAATTTTTTTTGCTTTTTTATGAATATGTTGTTAGCCTTACTGTTATCTACGTATAAGATATTGTGCTCCAAACAATGACAAAATTCACATTTATAAGACTGTTGAAAATGAAAATCAGGTTGATGTCAAAATCCAACATTAGATTGACGTTAATCACCAACGTTGGACAGACGAGGTTAAAAATCGGGTTGACGCCAAAATCCAACATCTGTCCAAAATTGGATGTTGACGTCAATCCGACGTCGGGTTATGACGTCAACCTGATGTTGGGTTCTGAGATCAGCCCGACTTTCAACGAACTCCAACCAAATTCCAACGTCTGTCCAAAATTGGATGTTGACGTCAATCTGACATCGGGTTCTGACATCAACCCGACTTTCATCTCCAACCAAAATCCAACATCTGCAACCAAAACCATCCCCTGACTGACGTCACCACTTTCTACTCAAGGACCTTGACAGAAATGTAGTGGAGTAAAAAGTATGTCTTTCAAATGGAGTGAAGTTAAAGTAAAAAGTCTCCAGAAAAAAAAAAATACTCATGTAAAGCTACTCAAAAAGTGTACTTAAGTACAGTACGCAAGTAAACAATTGCCAGTACATTCTTCAGGTTTGCTTCAAACTGAGAAAATATAATCACATTTTGAGAGAAAGAGAGAGAGAGAGAACTATCTCTATTGGTTGTGACTAGGATTTTATTGCATACCTTAAATTCCTTTTCAATATTGGCCAAGGAGGCGAGCTCATTGCTGAGCTCCAGAGCCGCCAGCACAGGATCCTCATTGGACAGAGAGAGGTACGCAGGACTGGCCAATCCCCTGTAGGCATTGATACGCGAGCGGGAGTGGCAAAAAGAATCGTACTTTTGATGGTAATTGCAGGTGTCGCAGGCACAAAAGTAATCATGTGGCTGCTCAATGCGAGCACCCTTTCCCAGAAGAATGTGTACGACCTCATATTCGTGACAGTGAGAAGCTAGAATGATCGGAGTGACGTCATGAGAAAAGCGCGTTCCATCTTCGTCATACGCAAAAAAGTCATCGTGCATCGGAGCCTGACTGGGGCTCGCTGTAAGTCTCTTGTAGTCGGCGAAAGCCTTGTGGCTCAAAATGGCCTCGACTATCCTGGTGTAACCTTTGCTGATGGCCAACAATAGTGCGTCCCCAATACGCGACAGGTTGTCTTTATTTAACAGGAGCTCTGTTACTTCCAAGTGTTCGTTTGCCACTGCCAACTGCAATGCATTCTGGCCCATGTAGTCCACGCAGTTAACATCCAGCTCAGGGATCTCCTCAAGCATCCTGCGGACGACAGGTATGTTTCCATACTCGGCGGCATCAAGGAAACGTTCCTCCACAGGCGTTAGACTGTTAGGATGGGCATTGAACATGTAAGCTGCCCCTCGCACCGCCTGCCTTCGGCTCTTGGGCAGCGCCTGTCGGGCCAGGTTCTCTCTACGATGAAAAACATACCAAATACGTGTATTAGAATTTATTTATTAATGTAGACCTATACTATTCAGTACGCCACTGACAAACACAGATTATGTCTATGTAAAATTACGTTGGCTTTTGTTTACAGACTATTATTAGCAGACATTGTTTAATAGCCACAGCAGTGCTTATGTAACTTATATTCATTCATGCATGCCAATGACTTGTATGCTAAACTTTTAAACTGACACTGCTAGATCCTAACGAGTCTAATGTTTAACGAACTGACATTTTAAACGAGCAAACCAATGCACAAATATTACATTGAACTGAGTGACAGTTTCCGGTCAGCACATTGAACTACATATTATCTCAGAAGGCAATGACATCTAAACATACAGTACGTGTACACAGAATCTCGACCAACTCACCCATGGTAGTGTCCGTAACTGCCGTAAGAGTCCTCGCCAAAATCTTCGTTCATCAGTAGATTGTCTTTACTTTTGTTCCTCTTTTGAATTGTGTGATACTTTGATTGATTTTTATCTTCCAGAACAGGTCTCCTTTGATTCATACTTTCAACTGAGGCAGTTCACGTCTCAAATGTGAATACACCAAAGCACAATCCCGTTATCCAAACATCCAGCTGTGAGTGATTGAGTGTGCGCTACACACTGGCAAGTCACCATCGTCTACACAGCCTTTGTTATGTTCCCGTTTAAGTCTTGAGATTGTGCAGAGCACAGAGGAATTCTAACTCTTCCTTTTCATTGGCTACTAATGAGGAATGTAACAATCTTCATGCCAGTTTACAAAAACTTAAAATTAATTGTTTTCTTCCTGGCTCGGTTTATTTGATTAAACTGAATGAAATTGAAAGCATTTAGTCCCAATTTCAACAATAGACAGATAACAGAATCCATAAATTTTCTTGATTGGTAACATTTTCAGTATGAAGAAGCATAAGAAATCGCAGAAATGCCATGTGCAAATCCCTCATCCCTCACCTTTTATTCCTCTCTGTTTGTATTAGGAACCATGATTAAACTCTGCTTCCAGCTTCCAAACTCAAAACTCAGTGACGGAGCGTATGTAGAATCCCTTTGGGTCTATTTCAGCATTCCCAATAAACCTCAACATCCTGTGTGTTCCTTACGAACGTCCAGCTCTCTGTGAACTGTGGGAAATGCCAGACTGACCAATCGTCATCAACATTCAGTGGCGACATCACACTTTTGCTTCTCTTTACTTTGCATCTCTCTGGCATTCTTTCTCCCACAGTCTCACATCTGTTGTGTGTACAGTACAGTATACCCACATGACTAAATGTGTACGTGCTGCAGTGGTCAGAATACTGGCCACAGAAATCTAACTGAGTACGTGAGCCAAACCGATGGGTCAAAAGGTAACCCTCACATTGGGTCATGGGAAGCCACTGTCTTGTTTCTATTCTCATGTTGATAGGCCCTGACACTAATGACTATCAGAGTGACTGTTTTTAGACTATTTTATATTATTTTCAAGGACATGCTAACTGCCCTCAGCCCAAGGCTTGCTGCAATACGATTTTGCAAATAGTTTCTTGAACAGATTATTTTTACAGCATTTATTCATCTTCGCTAATGTTAGTAAAAAAAAAGTATTCGTTCACAGTGCATTAACTATTATGTCAACAGATTAAAAATCTAGTAGTAATTGTTGCTGTTAAGATTATCTAACATTAAAGGGTTAGTTCACCCAAAAATGAAAATTCTGTCAGTATTTACTCACCCTCATGTTGTTCCAACCCCGTAAGACCTTCGTTCATCTTCGGAACACAAATTAAGATATTTAAGATATTAAGATTGCTCCTGCATACAGTCCATAGGCTTCTTGAGGGACTGGCTCTTGCTGTCCTCGAAAAGTCATTAAAGACATCGTTAAAATAGTCCAAGTGACTACAGGGGCTCAATCTTAAGTTTATCAAACGACGAGAACACTTTTGTGCGCAAAAACAAAAATAACGACTTTATTTCAACTATTCGTTTATTTCTCCCTCTGCGCGAGTCAGGTTACTAGTTTAATAGCGTAAGCTTCTGTTATAGTACGTCACACGCATCACACACACATGACCAGCGTCGGCCAATAGTGAGCCTACGTGTGACGTAGCTCTACGCAATCACACTACATTAACTGACTTATAGGCTCATGGAGAAGGAAGTGAATAGTTGAAATAAAGTCGTTATTTTTGTTGTTTTTTTGCGCACAAAAGTGTTCTCGTCGTTTGATAAACTTAAGATTGAGTCCCTGTAGTCACTTGGACTATTTTAACGATGTCTTTAATGACTTTTCGGGGACAGCAAGAGCCAGTACCTCAAGAAGCCTATGGACTGTATGCAGGAGCGATCTTAATATCTTAAATATCTTAATTTGTGTTCCGAAGATGAACGAAGGTCTTACGGGGTTGAAACAACATGAGGGTGAGTAAATACTGACAGAATTTTCATTTTTGGGTGAACTAACCCTTTAAGTCAGCATTGTTCATTCGTTTATGTTAACTAATAAGTAGTGTTAATAATGAAACATTATTTTCTCTAATAAATGGCTAAAAATAGTTTAATAGATAAAAATCTAGCATTTTTCTTTGTCGTTATTATTAAAATTATTATTTAAATCTTTTTAAAGTCTAAAAAAAGTCTGTAAATCATTCGAAAAAGGCTACACTCAAAAATGCTGGGTTGTTCCAACCGAAATTTGGGTCCAATATGGACAAATCCAAATGTTGGGTTAAAAATGTAATCATTTATTTTGTGTTAAAGTTTACTAATAAACTTTTTACGTTTGCCGCTATTGAGTCCTCCATTTATCTGAGTAGCTGACAATAACAATGATTATTGAGCCACTTTTGCTTCTCATTTTCCATAAATGAGTTGTGTGATTGTGTTCTTTGCATTCTTAACATTGGATGCGTTTAATGTCTACGCAAGGACAATAATCCTTTAAAATACAGCCCATGTTTCCTTTAAAATAATAATCTTTTTTGTGCGAATTCCTCCTGTGCTTGTATCATATTGTTATCTGGTTCTCTTCACTCTCTCAGTGACTCCCAGCCCAGGGCAAGGTCCTGCTCATGAAATGCTTCAGTAGATTTGGACTTTTTGTTTAGTCTTTGGCAGGACAACATTTGGCAGGATTCTTTGCTCTAAATTGACATTGTACAGATGGTTTAAAATATACACATATAACGACTGACATATTTACCTAAGGACGGTGATGCTAATATCGGCCCACACACTACGCAGCTTATTTATTTTAAGCGTGTTAATTATCTCTGTCCAGCCAATGATTCAAGACAAACAACAGGCCACCCACGTCACTTGCAACAGAGCTATTTGCTGCCCCCCCCCCCCCTTTTTAAAGTGCCTGGTCATCTAAAAGTAGAGCTTTGACAGGTATAATTTAAGTTCCCCAATCAACCGGAATTCACCGTATTGGAAAAACTCGTTTCTACTGTTCTCCAACAATGTGAATCTTGCAACTCCCTATACTTAGAATATTTTATTTAAAAGAAAGAAAGAAATAATTAAAAATCTGTAATATTGTAAAATGTTATTAAAATGTAAAATAACTTTTCTATTTGAATATATTTTTTAAATTTAATTTATTCTTACATTTTATATTTTAGATAAATGCTGTTTTTTTTTTAACTTTCTATTCATTGAAGAATCCTGAAAAAAATATTTTACAAACATATAGTGATAATAATCATAAATGTTTCTTGAGCATCAAATCATCATAGAAGGAATTCTGAAGGATCATGTGACAGTGAAGACTGGAGGAATGAAAGCTGAAAATTCAGCTTTGCATCACAGAAATAAATTACATTTTAAAATTTATTTAAATAGAAAACGGCTATTTTACATTTTAATAATATTTCACAATATTTTTATTTTTTGTTTTTAATCAAATAAATACAGCCTTGGTGAGCGGAAAAGACTTCTAACCGGCAGTGTATATATAAGCATTTCTCACATTTTATAATTCAGTTTATCGTATTATCTCTAATTTTTATTTACTTACTCATGGTAATCTTCTGCTTCAACTAACTTATGCATAGGATTATTTCAATTTGTTGTTGAGTTGCAAATATTGTTATTGTCCATCCCTGTGCTTTAGAGATGTTTAATAATATTGAGCAAACCAATAGAATTGCGCTTTTGTTATGTGTTATGGTCCTATGTCCTTCCTTCTTTTCTTTTTTTTTTTTTTGTTAAATTTATTCCGTAGTGATTAGGTTTTCTGAGACCCGTGCTTCTTCGAAATGCTACAATAATTTTGAATTGAACTCTTCCTGTATTTTTCAAAACTTATAACTTTCGATTTCGCATTTGCCCTGTCAGCTGGGTGTTGCATAGCTACAAGTATTCATGTTTCTTTTACTCTCACATGCATCCCTCATGAAAGATTACCCTCCACTGTGTGCCTGAAGATGAAAATAGACTTTAAAACAGCACTGGTTTGTCTTAATTCGCCTGATCGACTCATTCATGCAGCATCACACAGTCATGCTTTTTTGAGCATTTCATCTGGGCTTATTGTTCATTAGTTGACCCTTTCAGACTCCAACAGTCAGCTAGCTTCTGGTTAGCTGGAGCATTTACAGAAAAACAGACCTGTAAAGTAAAAATGAAACTTGAATTTCAGTTGAATTATATATTTTTTTTAATGGAAATAAACTGAGGGAGGGGGGTTTTTACTTTTTTCTTTTCTTCTGAATTTTGTATGATTTGATTTCGAATGAAACGTTACATAAAATAAATAATTATTATAATACATCATACAAATCGGTGCAGTTGTTTTGATTCTCATTTAATAAAAATCATTAAACCTGTATCATGAACACAAATCATACCCTTTAGACAGGCTTTGAGTGTTTTGAATAAAATCTACTGTCTAATCAGAGTACAACCGTCAATAAAAAAGGGACTTTTGAGTGCTGGTAGTTTGACAGTAACTTTCAGACTGAATTATTTGGTTTAATCTAGCAGTGTTCCATGTAAATAAAACATTTTAGTAATAACACAATTCAATTTATTCATAACAATGAACATTTTGGGCTGTGACCCAGGATTAAAAGGCATGGTGGACTAAATCACAATGCCAAAAAGTTTATTCCTAATCATATTTTCTTTCACTTTTCTTTTTTTAGAAAAGTTCACATGGCAGAAGTGCTTCGTTCTTAGTGCTTCAGTTCTTCAGTGACCTTGTTCCATTGTAATACATCATCTTCAAAATCCTCAGATTTATTTTAAATTCGGCATCTCAACTCTCCTGATCTTCATAGTCACTGATTTAATTTTGACAAGCGTGCCATTTTTGGTCCAGGTGTCCCAGTGGATATGTGACTGGGTGGACAGGTCTTGGTCCAGTGGTGAGCCATTCAAATTAGCCTTGCCACACTGGTTAAACCACCATCCAGTGTTGTTCTGGTTCTCACTGCAGCTCTCAACAGCTTTATCAGCAAACGTGCAGAATGGAGAACAACCGTCGTTGTCAACGTCAGAGGTACTGAAGGGGGCCGTATCTTGATTCTGCTCTTGCCCATACCCTCGAAAAGCATCACCTTCAGAGAGAGAGAGAGAGAGAGAGAGAGAAACACATTACATATTTAATCCTTGAGCTGAGTTCAAATTGCTTGTTAATCTCTAATTATGTATTATCAATGATTAAATATTTTTTTGTTTTATTTAATTAATTTTGTTAAATAATTTTGTATTTCTTTTTGGAACTGATTGATTATTGGCCTTATTGATTTGAACTTGAAACAACAGTTTTACAGTAAAGAACTTTCTGTGGAATGGATGTTAAATGTTCTTCATGGAACCATTAATGCCAAAAAAGAACCTTTATTTTTAAATCTAGGTCAACTAATAGACAGGAAACAAACACAGAAAACAGGAACACACACTGTAAAAAAATATATATTTTCATGATTTGAAATAACTTTTTCTTTTGTCAAATCAACTTGGATAATTCATGTTGCTCAGATAATATAATATTTTGTGTTTCTGTTGATTAAACCAATCTCCTTCATTGTATTAACTTTAACTCCACTTTTAGACATACACTCCCAATTTTCCCTATAAGTACTTCCCCTCTGGGAATCTTTGCTGCCATTTTGAAGTACATTTAACTTCATCAAGCAGATGAGGGAAGTTCATTTGGACAGACATTCAACCCCGATTTTGGCCAAGGGAGTGGCAAATTCAAATTGCAATTGCAATTTCAATGCAATTATCTAATCAACCAATCACATGGCAGTTGCTTCAATGCATTTAGGGGTGTGGTCCTGGTCAAGACAATCTCCTGAACTCCAAACTGAATGTCAGAAAAATGTTGCCTGGTCTGATGAGTCTCGATTTCTGTTGAGACATTCAGATAGTAGAGTCAGAATTTGGCGTGAACAGAATGAGAACATGGATCCATCATGCCTTGTTACCACTGTGCAGGCTGGTGGTGGTGGTGGTGTAATGGTGTGGGGAATGTTTTCTTGGCACACTTTAGGGCCCTTAGTGCTAATTGGGCATCGTTTAAATGCCACGGCTTACCTGAGCATTGTTTCTGACCATGTCCATCCCTTTATAGCCACCATTTACCCATCCTCTGATGGCTACTTCCAGCAGGATAATGCACCAAAAAGGAACATTTACCTGATATCTAATCATTCTGTTCCAAAATGGAATACAAAACCATGTCTTATTGAAAGAAAACAAGTTCATAAAGAGTTTGAATACAATGAATGGCAATATAATAGCATAACGAGAGAGATATAAGCTTTTTTTTTTATCATGAACACCACAAGTGTAACAGTTGAAAAAAACCTAACCTGCACATCCGGCATATCTGCCAAGGTGTATTGCAAAGAATTTAGTTTCATCTTCGAGCCAAAAATTGTCGTATGAAGCATAGGCCGTGGAATCATCTTGCGAGACCAGGGACACGTGCAGCTGGAAACGTGTGTTCCTCTGACTCACAATATTGAAGATCTTCCTCAAACCCAACCAGTGTTCACCTTCAGAGACATATATATAAAGTCAATGCCTCTTAATTCATTTATTGATTAACAAATAAACTGACTTACTGTACCTGCTAAGTGTCCAAATCCATCCAAATACTGTGACCACATTCGTTTAAAGTCGGTGAGACCATCGGTCCGTCTCTGTATTACTGTCCATCCACCTTCCATGTAATCCATCTCACAGAACACCTGATGGCCAGTTAAAGACACTTAATTCACATGTTTGATTTGCTTACGAAAATAACTGTGGTTGGAAAATTTTAAACAAAACTAAAAGGAGGTACTTTCCTCAAATGAAACATCTGTGTTTTCTGGCTGAATTATATAAATTCCACTAGGGATTTTTGGAGACACAGCACCTAGTGTCTCTTTGATATCACTACAGTCTTTCCCTGTTGAATGAAAAGGAATTCACTATGAGGATGTGTAAATGATAAATATTTTGCAGAAAGTTTGACAGCATGTTAATCATCTTACCGTGGGACTCCATGGGCTTCACGGAAAATATGTCACTGTTGCTTCTCTGTACATCTGAACTGAGCGTGTTAACTTTGGCCATAAGCTCTATTATCTTAAAAAAAAAAAAAAAAAAGAATTCAGAGCAATATGTTTGAGAATGCAGTAGAAGATTTTGCGGTTTGCAAGTTAGGAAATTTTAGAATACCTGGCTTGAGAGAAATTCCAAAGCCTTCTGCTGTTCATCAATCAGATCTCTGATCAGCTTCCTAGTGTTTCTTGTATATGACACCATGGTATGCTGGAGGTTACCTAAGATACACAAACTGCATAAAACTCTGTACAGCAATGAGTTGTGATTGTGAAGCAAAAAAGTGAAAAGAAAGTGAAATATCAAAGGGTTTACAAAGTAGGATTAAATGTATAGTGTGGGAAATATATCACACTGTACACAGAAAAAAAAAAGAAACCTACTGCACAAGGAATGTTTTTCATCACGCATTAATTTTGCAGTCATTTCACATGGCATAGTGCACTTGTCTTTGTCCACGTCTCTGTGATAATATTCTTTTTGACCTTGAAGAGAGACATACTCAGACTCCTCGGGTGATATAACAGGTTCATTGCGATGATTACCGCTGATATTCTGTGAACACAAACAAAATATACCACACATTAAGAAGTGTTCATGAAATATTAATATTATATAATTAATAATATTACATATTCATGAAAGATGATACAAAATATTAATTTGCAGAACTAATAATTTGTACAATATTTGTTCAAATATCACAAATTAATATTATTAGATAAAATTTAATGATGTATGCCTTATATTTATGTAAGTACCATTATGATGTTTTAACAATGCTCATATTTTATTACTTAGTTTAAGAAGAATGGAATACTTCATAGCAAATATTGCAGGTATCGCATTTAATGACAAGGTAAATAAAAACTTTAAGATTTAAGGATAACATTTCTACATTAATTACAGCTGACAGAAAGGAAAGGTTTCCAACACTCACCACAGCTGATGATGCAAGAATATTCAGAAATAAAGTGATCCAGATCATTTTGTTCGTTGTGGCAGTCCCACATGTGAAAATGTGAAGATGCACACCCTACCAATGAGACAGACCTGTTGTCTCCAGTGTTGTCCTGTGCATGGGCTGGACTGCCTCTTTACTTCAGACAGGCACAAAAAAAGAAGAAAAGAAAAGAGAGAAAACCTCACAAAAAGACGAAACGCTGGTCTTAACTCAATAAAAAGTGTTCGGACTCCAGACCAATTCTTTTTCATTTGTAAAGCACTGTTACTTTATTGCACTTTGACAACATCCTGCATTGACTATGAAAACCAGATGGTGAAATGTGAAACGTGTTTCTGCTGAGGGAAGCAGCAGGAGCAGCATACGCAAATGCATTCCTTCCAGAAACACTGTGAGATCCTGGACATGACAGAATTCATATTACATTCAAAACACTTGGATTGGCCAAATGTGTTTTTCCTTTATACTGGGGCATTTGTTGCATCTTCCAAGCTAATTTGTACTGTTACTCCAGTAGCTCAACTGAAATGGATGTCACTAGCAAACTCAAGGCAAAGGGTTTGATGCTATCATAAACTGTTAAATACATAATTGCTCATGGAATTTTCACTGTACTCTTGGCATCAATGTAGAAATTCTTGGTCTTGGTCAGAATGGTTTGAGTGTCCTTGAGTAAGTGCCCTTCAAGGAACACATCTGTTGGGGATTAGACAGTTTTGTTGAGTATGCAATGTACTGTATGCTTATATAGGCCTAGAAGTTTACATGACTAAAAGCGTTATGCTGCCTGTGGCTGATAGTCAGTTAGAATAGGTTTAGCTTACGTTGTGAATTGCATATATAGAACGATTATCATTAAAACCAGGCTGAGTGTTTATGTTAATGTTGAATATATTACTATAATAAGTAATAAAGAAGATACTGATGGGGCCAGTCACACACTTTTTACTCCAGTGTATATTTCTCAGGATGTGTTTATTAGGCCTATTGAAAGGCAAAGTCTACTAAACTAAAATACTTTTTATTCTTATTGCTGAGACCAAGAACATGAACATACAGTGATAACACAGATCACGCAGAACAAGAATCAGAATAAAGGGCCATGCATTTTTTCATTTGTGTAAGAAAATAATTAATAAGACATTTTACGACATCTGAATTGAAAAACATTGTTGAGATGTCTGGCAAAACTTGTAAATTTCTCTTTTTTTCCCCCCTACGTCAGTAGTCTTTTCGTACTATGATACGCACAGCCGGCACTACGTCATAGAACGTGTCTGACCAGATTCACGCCCACTTTTAGGAGAAAATAAATAGCGTCACAAAACAACGTCCGTTCACAGCCGACTGGCCTGAATAACTTTAGAAATCACTAAGATTAAACATTTCAAGTAATATGTCCTCTCTGCCTGCCATAGAGCGTGAAAGATACACACACACACTTAATTTGGTCAATTTAAAAACATGGCCCTTCATTCTCCCAGCGTCAAATTGGCGTAACAACCCCATCCAGTGGCCAGAGTCTGACCCGACATTTACTTGTAGTCCATCGAGTCACCGTGGTAAGCAGTGAATGATTTCACTTTGTTTTTGAAAGTAAACGTCTTTAAATGTATATATTATGTCTTATACATTATAATATATCTTATATATAACACCACTGGTTGGAGTTGTTACACCAATCTGACGCTAAGAGAGAGACATGTTTTTAAATTGACCAAATTAAGTTTATGTATCTCTCACGCTCTATGGCAGACAGGGTGGACATATAAATACTGGACATGTTTTATATTAGCTTAGTGATTTCTTAAGTTATTCACGCCAGCAAAGTCTACTATGGGAACACTTGTTTTCCCCTAAAAAGGGGCGGTTACGAATGTGCCAGTAGTAGTTGTCACGGTAACACAAGGACAACAAGCAGCATGGCGGAAGAGACACTTTCATTCGAACAAGCGTTCACCTTCAATTTGCTTTCCAACAAAAAATTTACATTTCAGCAAGATCCCAAGATATCAAAACTCCTAATGAAATGGTAAGAATATGCACAGAATATTGAGGGTACAATTTCACAGAATTCACTGACAATCATGAGTTACCGATGAGGAACAAATGGCACATGGGTCAATGAATAGTTTTCAAGATGTTTTAAAGGCGCAGAATAGAAACGGATGAAATTGTGAAAATATGATAAACGTCTACATCCTTAAAACACCTGTCACTAGAACTGAGCAGATTAGTATTGACTCATGACTCGTGGTGCTATAGTCTACATTTAAAACATGGAGCAGAACATTGCTCTCCAACAAATCACAAATAAATATGAGCTGAGCATTTGGCTAAATAAAAATGCCATGGGAAATCATAAAACGTTATAAAACAATAAAATGCAAAGATATAAATAGATGCATTAATATACCTTAAATTAAATCAGCACTTTGAATCACATCAGATAGCTTACCTAAAATGCAACACCCCTGGAGCAAGTGGAGATATCTTACAAAAAATCTACTTTACATCTGTAGCTTACTATTACTATACTGTACTATATAAGAGCTGCATATTTAGATTTAAATAATGATAGTCATCACCGGCATGTGAAAAGACACCCTTTTGAATAATGTGGTTTTACATATCACACTCTAAAAAAATGCTGGGTTGTTTCAACCAAACTTTTGGGTCAAACCCAGCCATTGGTTTAAATTTTAAAATAACTTTTTAACCTAATGTTTGGGTCCATATTTGACCCAAAATTGGGTTAAAACAACCCAGCATTTTTTAGAATGCATAAAATCATCTGATTTGAAATATAAAATTAAGATATTTTTAATGAGAGATTCTGTCACTCCATTGACCATCCACACAATTTTGCTGCTTCAAAAAGTTCATAAAGAGATTGTAAAACGAATCCATATGAATGAAGTGGCTCAGTCCAAATTTAAAGAAGAGTGGGCCAATATTCCTCCACAATGATGTGAGAGACTTATAGTCATATTGAAAATAACCCAAAAAACCCCATAAATATATGTAGCTGTATATGTAACTGTATGTAATGTAATAAGCTGTAAAGCTGTTTGCATTTGACCTTATTGCATGTGAGGCGTTGCGTTGGGTTTTTATGAACATCTCACTGGATATTTCTAGGTTGTTTCCCGTCGAGAAGTTGTTTACTAAAGTTGTATGGTACTAAAGATTAAAAACTTTAGTGTATTTAAGAATTAATTTAAAATAATGTAATACGCTCCGAATATATCTTTTGGGAAAAACAATAAATGCAGTACAATTACAAATGACAAAATTTACAGTAAAAATGACATGATACATTTTTCTATATGGTCACCTCTATCAAATATTGGTGAATCACCCATTCTAAAAGAAGAATTTTAGTTCACTTAAAGCTGTGCAATATTTTCTATGTTTAAAAATTGTGTTTCCGTTTGCCTTTTAGGTCCATGTTGGGTCGAATTACCACCCAGGCCTTCAATTTTGACCAATTTTTCCAGCCTTATAGGAGCAATGACTTCGTCTCGGTAAATATTCACACATTAATTTAATCTTTCTATGTCACAGCAACTTTAAATAGTGTAAGTTTGTTTTCTAGAATTTCTTTCAAGATCCCTGTGTGAAGAACAATTTAAAGGTACTTGATTCCTCTGGATCATGGTCACTGCTGGGTATGTTAATGTCAAATGATAAAGCATATTGCTGTTCTGTTCATATGGGCTGATAATGGCTTTGGTTTGTACCCATTCACAGGTAGAGACATTACACATGTAAATGTTGAAGTTGTTCAATGCACAAAAGTGTCAGTGGACATATTCGATCCAATTTACTCAAATGGAATTTTGCATCCTTCCGGCCACATTGTCAAATGTTACCATGAAATATACCCTGACTTCGATGAGCTGCGGATGGTATGGATTATTTTATGGTGCTCTCAAACAGCTGATCTAAGTGTTTGCTTGAACTTTGATCTCTGTTGTTTGGCATGCTTTCTTACAGCTTTTGCTTGAAGAAGACTCTGACAATTATCATAGAATCAGTCCAAGTGATCGGAAGGAGTTTTTGTTCAGACTGTTCAAGCATATGGTCTTAGGGGGTGAACTTTGCCAATATGAGGATGTCATTGATCCTTACACTGAGACAGCAAAAATGATGTACAAAGACTTGGTCAGGTGAGAATTTTATGTTGCATTATACAGTATATATATATATATATATGTGTGTGTGTGTGTGTGTGTGTGTGTGTGTGTATAAACACCTGATTCATGTGTTTTTCACAGCGTTCAGAAGGATCCAGATACAAAAGAGATCAGTGTTGTCACAACAATCTTGAAAGTTTCTGCTCACGTATGTGCATCATTATCCTTAAAGGTGCACTTTGTATTTTTTTCCGTATTAATGTTTATGCTAACATTGCTATTTTTGTTTATTAGGATCACGCTGGACTGTGCTACCCTTCTGCAACAGAAAATGAGCAGACATTTGCTTACCTCTGTATTGATCCATTTAAAAGACATGTGTATGTTCTATACCATTCATTTGGTATAGGGGACTTTTCAGGAAACTAAGTGACCTCGATCTAGGTCTACATAAAAACACTCAGATATTATTTTTTAGGAAATACACATTTTCCATCTATAACCCTTATTTTTTATTAAATGAATAGATCAACCTTAATGAACATTTTGTCATAACTCATAACATAACAGAACTCTCATAATGTTCCAAGAACAAAAATATAGTTTAGCTTTTATGTAAAGAAATTTTAGATTTGAAACATGGGAAGTGTTGAATTTATTTCAAGTGATTATTTTAAAAGGCTGCCTTTTTGTGATATATTAAAAAATCTTCTTTTCTTTATAAGTTAACTGTATATTTAACTCTGAGTAATGGTGGTGCCCCCACTCTACATTTACACTGGAATTTCTTGAAATATTTTACACTGGAACTTGTGGTACAATTGAAAAAGGTTACTGACAAATGTGTATCGATTACCGTCATGAGGTAGTAGAGGTTTCGGGTCATTTTTGCAATCTTATGACCTGTCATTAGCTTTGAGTTGGTTGTGATCTTTACACTGTGACAGTAAAGTACTTGTTCCTGCACTTAAGGGATAGTTTACCCAAAATTGAAAATTAAGTCATTAATTTCTCACCCCCATGCTGTACCAACACCGTAAGACCTTCGTTCATCTTTGGAACACAAATGAAGATATTTTTGATTAAATTTGAGAGCTGTATCACTACCACATAAGGAACCCTAAGGGATTGAAACTTGACGGCCCAGAAAGTCATTGAAGAAAATGTTTAAATATTCCATGTGACTACAGTGGCTCAACTATAAGTTCATCAAGCGGCGAGAATACTTTTTGTGCGAAAAAAACACACAAAAAATAACGACTTTATTCGACTTTATTATTCCTTTTCTTCCTTCTGGGCCTGAGACGAGAGTTCAAGAGATTTCCATGACGCATGCGTGAGAACTGAACAAGAAGTAGAAAAATAACGTAGTTCTCGCGCATGTGTCGTGGAAATCTCTAAGGGTGAACTAACCCTTTAATGTATACATTTTAGAAATTTTTTTGGAGTAAAATGTAATTTGTCTTTTCTTGGTTTTCATTTTGTTATTTGAATTATTTAGTAAATTGGCTTTAAATGTGTTTTCTTTATTTACCTTTTTTACTGCTTATTGATTTTGGTGATGGTGATTGGTGTTTGATTAATTTACCTCTGAATGTGATTTATTTATTTTGTAGGAGCTAAGTGCTTTATTCGTTAAAAATAGTTATATCATCATCAAGCACAGTAGTGGACAACACTTCATGTTTAAGTTTAATCAAACAACATACAATATTTATAATTAAATTAATAATTTTGTCTTTATTCATTAAAGTATAAAATATCAGCGTCATATCATTTAACAGGTAAAACCTGAAAGCCACAAAATGAAAACATCGACTTTATTTAGACAGTATACAATATAACTTGATATTACCAAAGAGTATGGAAGAACAATAATTTAAAAAGTTTTCGGATCATTTTAGACCGAAGAGGACCAGAGGGTTAAATCATGAAGTGTTGTCAAAACTGTGTGCCTGATCCTAAAAATTTAAAATAAAAATAAAATCCCATTTGGAGGTAAATGAATCAAACACCAATATCAACTAGATGGTAACGTTCGTAGACAAACATTAAGTTGGCTTAAAAGAAAAAAGGTTGCAAAAGTTTTAAACTGTTCTGGTTTAACATTATTTACCATGTTTCTAGTAAAGAAATATTAAGACAGAAAGAAAGATTGGTTAGAAAGAAAGATTAGTTAGAAAGAAAGATCAATTAGTTAGAAAGAAAAATAAAGAATCATTTGAAAAAAGAAAGGAAAGATTAGTTAGTTAGAAAAAGATTATTTGGAAAAGAAAAAAAGATTAGTTTGAAAAAGAAAGAAGGTTTAGTTATGGATTAGAAAGAACGAAAGGTTTGAAAAAAGAAAGAGATAAGTTTGAAATAAGACAAAGAAAGATTTGTTTGAAAGAAAGAAAATATAACAGAAATATTTAGTAATAGCATTAACAAAAATAGTGTTTTATATCTGTGGAGACTTCAATATTGACTTGCAACCCTCTAGTAAACAACAGAACTACAGAGTTCATTAATTTGATGTACAGCACCGGTTTATATCCCTTAATTACTCGACCAACCAAAATTACAGCAAAGAATGTTACATTAATTAAAAAACATATTTACCAACGTCATTGACTATAAAGTTGAAAGTGGACTAATATTAAACAACGTCAGTGACCATCTGCCAGTTTTTGCAAACATACATATAGGGCAAGGAAACACAACAAAATATACAAAGACCCAACACAGAACCCATCAATATATTCAAAGACGATTTAATGAAACAAGACAGGGCAAAGTGTACGTAGAAAACGCGAATGAAGCCTATTTATTTTTGCCTGTTGTAACATCACTTTATGAAAAAAAAGCTGTCCTGTATAGTAAAGACAGAAGTAAAGCTGAAATCTGAAGAAAAGACATGGATAACTAATATTAAATTCATGTAAGAAGAAAAGTATATTATACAAAATAAATATAAAATAGGCCTATATAAAAACAAACTAACCAGAATCATGAGAAACAATAAAAATAATTATTATAAACTACTAGAGGACAATAGAGGTAATATAAGAAACACCTGGAAGGTGCTAAATGAAATTATCAAGAATAAAAATGGTAAAACAGGAGACACTAAATAATTTCTGAAAAAAATAATAATAATACAGAAATTAAGGAAATGAAGGATATGTAAATAAAACCACTTATAGAGCACCAACAACTTCACTGTTTATTAAATTAAAATAACTCAAATTCAGAGATATTGTTGACTTCAAAACTGCACAAATTATGTATCAAATAAATAATCAACAGCTATCGAACAATATTCAAGAGTTGTTCCAGATTAGAGAGAGGATCATTTTGTTTTTAAAAAGAAATGTAAGAACAAATTCAAAATATCACTGCATCACAACAACCAAAGGAGTGAATATGGAACAAGATGAAATCATGTTCAACAATGAGTAAATTTAAAGGACTATTTAAACTGAAGATATTAAATGGATACGAAAAGGATTTGAGGTGATAGTATTGTATACAGGTTTCTTGGTCTACATTTTTAGTTTAGTATGGAGGTGTTATTATTTGATTTGCTATGGAAATGAATGAGAAGAGAACTTCAAGAATGGAAGAGATATAGGGGGTAGGACCTGAAAAGTTTACATATGAATGCATGTCTATATATTATAAAAATAGTATATAAAAGAATAATAATAACAAGTTTAAATAGGATTTCAGTAAGTTGGCTTTCTCAAGCCAACTAAAATTTGTTTATGTAGGCTACAATAGTATGCGGTGTGGGCGTGGTCTTGCCTTGTCTTCGGTTGGAAAGTCCCTTTTAGCCTACTTCCTGCCCTAGGAAAGTCCCGTAGTTTAGGGGGTTGAGCTGATTCATGAAATTCAACTCTTGATGAAAAGCCTAATTCTCTATTTATGACTACTAACTTGAACAAGACTTCGCTGTGGATTCGTCTGCCTACGTTTTCTCTGGTAAGTATATATTTTTGATTCTAACCAGGCACTGCTTGGTGAAATTCTGCACTCAGATTTAGACCTATAATATACCACCCTTATTATGGGAGTGGGAAATAGGATTGTATGTAATTAACGTTAGTCTATTAACAAATCAATCAAGAAATGTTACAGGGGGAATTATTTTCTATTTTTTATGTTTTATTAATTTATTGTCAACCTTATTTGATGTTCTTTATTTGGTGATTCCTTCTAAAAACTGGGTTGTGATTATTTAAAAACACTGATCATTTTCATTATTCACACAATAATATTCTGCCCTCGTTTAGTCAACTCAGAATGAGGAGTCACGTGCCGATTTGGGCGGGGTATGAGCCGGTCGGCCATGATGGTAGAAGACGCTATCCGTTACCAGTGGCAACGCCTTTAGAACCCTATGTTAGAACCCCACAGAGACGCGACTAAACATTCCAGAGTTCTTTAATTTTCGCGCATTTATTATTTTGGCAGGACAGAGACGGATCTAAGAATACGAGAAAAAAGGAAGAAAGTAAAGCAATGCTAAAAGATAAGGCAAAAGAAAAGGGACCTTGCAGGAACAAACTCACACAAAGCGCAAAACAGCTGTATTTGGAGAAGCAGCATCAAGATATTTGTTCTTTTGCACTAATAACAGTATTATTGATTTATTATTATTACTTATGTTGTCCATTAAACTTATATTGTCCAAATATACATATATTTCAGTTCTCAATAAATATTGTTAAGCCATATCAAGTTGTTTCAAACATTTATTTCAAAGAAATAAAAAAAAGTAATGAACAAGGCACTCAAACAACACTTTTGCGTATGTTCGTTAAGGCACAGCAAACAGTGAAAATCGTATACTAAAGGCATCAGCCAACCATGCAATCCAGCGTCTCCTCGTCAGATACTCTCCCTGATGCTGTGTCCATTTCGATAACCTAAAAAACTGTATTACATTGTTCCTATGGAGTATTTCACCTTTGTCATCCACACATTTGTCATCCAATCAAATGCCAGTAGCTCTGCAAGTAAACAACAACAACAACAAAAAACACTACATTGAAGGGAAGCATGGCAGCACATCACTCCAAACACAGAAGCTACATTTTCTATAGTTTTATTTACATTTTTTAATGTATTTTTGCCAGTATGTCATAGTTTGTATGTAAAATAGAAAGATTGAACTTATTAATTAAAGTTAAAAATAGATTGTAGAATTGCACGTTTTAAATCAGGATTTTTTCAAATGTTTCTTTCCATTAGATTGGACAGTGTTAGGGTTTAAAAAGCCTGTTACTGAAATCACATGTCCAGTAATGCTGATTGAAATGTCTTATATATATATAAAAAAAATCTATATCACAGTACCGATACATTTTTTAAACTTTTTTATATGCAGGATATACAGTTCTTGAAGTGCCTGAACATATAACTGATGAAACTATCTCAGATGTTGACTTTATGTGGAGTGATGAGGAAGATGGAGATTTAAGAAAAATATCCATATTTAAAACTTTATAAAGTGAATAACTATCTTTCGGCCGAATGAACATTTGACTTAAATCTAACGTGCAACTTGAATATGAATATTTTTCATATTTTATTTTATATCATTTTTTATTTAATATTTTTTATGGATAAATGCACTTTTATGATGGATAGATACTTTTATGATGGATAGATGCACTTTTATGGATTTTCAAAACAGAAACAACAATTCACTGCCATTATAAAGCTTGGAAGAGCAAGGACTTTTTTATATAACTCTGATTGTATTCGTCTGAAAGAAGAATTTCATACACCTTAGATATATAAATCATGGGCTAATTTAGATTTTTGGGTAAAGTTCAAAGGTATACGACAATTCAGAGGCAGAACCCTACTGTCTAAGGCAGAAGGTTTATCACGGAACATATCCAGCTCTATCTCTCCATGTGGACAAAAAAAAAAAACATATTACTGAGATTGACAAGCTACTTATTCATTTCTTATGGAAAAATAGAACTCATCATGTGAAGAAGTCAGTTCTAACAAATCCCTATGAAAAGGACAATGAAAGACAATTTTTTGAAAGCTCTCTCCCCCTCTCTCTCTCCCTCACACACACACACACACACACACACACACACACACACACACACACACACACACACACACACACACACACACACACACACACACACACACACTGACAACAATAAAACCTAGACACAGAACATCCATTATGTACACAAACATGAAGATTGCTTCTCCCTAATTAAATTTATTTTACGATATATAATAATTACATGTTATACTTTAAAAGCTTGACGGTTACTGTGTGACGTCATTTCCGCAATTCGCCCGCTGTGCTGACGCTGTACAGAAGCACAGAACAGAAAGGACATTTTGTGATGTTGAACAAAATTCGTTTTTGCTCTTAGCATTGGTGAGTCTGATTTTTTTAGCTCTTCGTTGGCCAAAAATCAAGTTTTGATTATCTTAGTAGTGTTGTAGGTCTTGTTTGTGTCCTTAAAATCTAAAAAATTGTCTGGTCACCCAAAGTACGGAAAATGGCAGCGTAAAGAGAAGACGCGACTGCCTTTTCCGTGACAACGAAGCACTGGATTTCACCTCGTTTACCTAATATGATTCAGAAACTTGTGGTCTGTGGAATGGAATGAGTCACATCAAGTTATTTGCTTTTCGAATCGAATACGTCAAAGATCTCATTTATCAGAACAAGGGGTGGAATGTCGGAATAATTAATCACCACCCAGTGGACATGCATCACAGAAAAACAAAATAAAAAAAATAAAAAAAGTTTTTTTTGCGTTTGTTTTAAGTTAAAACCTTAACCTATGAAAAAGCCACATTTAAAAAAACAACCGGATTTTTGATACAAGAGAATGAAAATAAGTCAAGAGATCTCTTCTGTTTTGTAATTTTATTTGTAATGTTTTAATTGGTGGGAGGAACAAGGAAATGTCTGTTTCAGAAGCACGTAATGATCTGCAATGATAAATCCAGCAGGGGCCAGTTGTATTAAAGTAGCCATGTTAAGACTGTGTCTTCTTAACAACTATTCTGGCCAATTAGTTGGGGCTAATCTTTCTTACCTTGTGGATTCAAATTAGACCAGTCTACCTTAGGACCATTCTTGAAGTAAAAAAATTAATGACTAACTTGAAAGACTAATCATAGGGGTCTTCATCCTAGAGCTTTAGAAAGAAAAAAATTCTGACTTCACTTATTTGTTATTACATTTTCATTCTCGATTTACTGAGTCCTGCTGAAAACCCCTGAAATAAAAGTTTAACTCTACCCTTCATGTCTTTTGGGAAATTCAAGGTCATTAATTTAGACCTGTTCTCTGTATTATTTCCAGGTTCCTGCATCATAGAGGGAGGACGCACATACCCCCTACGTTGACCTTTTATCTGTTCAGGAGTTAAATTTTTTTTTATAAGATTATGTGTTCTGTCATGGACGACTAGACACCAGTCATGGGATATCCAGCAGAGAGAAAGGCTTGAATGGCTTGTGTGACGCACCATGTGTTCACATCTTTGTTAGATTTCTTATTGATTATATGTTACGGTCCAAAGAAACCACCATTTTTCATTTAAAAATGTGTTTTGTTCAGTGTGGCTTTGGTGTATTTCCTAGTGATCCAGGATGAGTTTCAAAAGCTGCCATACAGGGATTTTATACGACTCATTTTGTTCATCTAACCAAGCTTGCGTTATGGATCACATTATGTTCATGGAGTTTTCAAGGCACGTGTCACCAGTTCTATGAAGAAACACAATTTTGCCCTGTGGTGTAATCCAGTCATGTTGTAATCAGATGATTGATAAGGAGGAATTTGGAGTTTTCTTTTTTCATAAGGGGTTAGATGTTTGTGTAATCTTGTTTGTCTTGCTCACATAGTTCATTCTCTGTTCGCACACACAGGGTATTACAATCAAGCCTTTCTCTCTGCTGGATATCCCTTTCTTTCTCTCTTTTTTTTCAAATGGAAATTCTACAAAACAGTGCTTTCCTTCGTGGTTTGTGTCGCAATAGCTCCCCTGCCGATTTACAATATGATAATTCTTCTGAACTCTTTCGTATATCAACGTATGCCAAGTTCCCCACCACTGCAGCAGTGACAGAGAGGAGTCTTGCGCGAGCAGGGTTTTATTACACCGGAGTAGGTGATCGTGTCCAATGTTTCCGCTGCAATGTGACGGCCGACAACTGGCAGTCCGGCGACTGCCCTGCCGAGCGCCACAAACAGCTCTCTCCCAACTGCAGCTTCATCCAGAGTTTACCCGCCACCGCAAACCTCCTGTCGTCCTCTCACTCTGCCTTTTCCCCGCTTCGCAACGTAGCCATCCTACAGCTGTCCGCCCCTGCGACCGCAGTAACGTCGACCACCACGGCATCCGTTTCAGGCCAAACGGAGGAGCAGGTGGGTTACTTAAACATGGGATTCAGCAACCTGGCCCCCTCCAGTCCCATTTCCTCCCGTGGAGTGGAGGATATGTCTCACCAGCGACCTCCGGCTTGTCACAATCCTGGTATGCGTCGGGAACAGGAACGCCTTGACACCTTTCAGAATTGGACTCTTGCTACAGTAACTCCAGCCGAGCTTGCCAAAGCTGGTTTCTACTACCTTGGCCAGGGCGACAGGGTGGCTTGCTTCAGTTGTGGAGGCCAGCTTAGCAACTGGGAACCGGGAGATCGGGCAGTATCAGAGCACCAGAGGCATTACCCCAACTGCCGCTTCGTTCGAGGCGACCGTGCAGATAATGTACCTTTATCCGGTGGCGGCCTTTCCAATGTATCGAACTCGGCAATGCAACAGTGTGAAGAGAGGTTGCTCACGTTTGTCAACTGGCCCTCAAGAATACCCGTTCGACCAGACCAATTGGCTAAAGCTGGTTTTTACTATGTTGGTAAGAGCCTTGGTCATATTATTAAAGTCATTAAAGGTCTAATTTTAGTGCTTAGATGCTCATTCTAACATATTCGCAATTATTTCCGTTTCGGTAGGTCGTAATGACGACGTGAAGTGCTTTTGTTGTGATGGTGGACTCAGATGTTGGGAGTCTGGTGATGATCCATGGGTAGAACATGCTAAGTGGTTTCCAAGGTAAATAGAAGAGGCTTTTGGAGTCATTTTCTGTCCCATGATGGCATTTTATTAATTATGCATTTATGTTCTTCTAGATGTGAATACCTGTTGCAAGAAAAGGGCCAAGAGTTTGTTCATCAGATTCAAGCAAGATTTCCAAGACTATTTGAACAGGTATATGAGAGATTCTGGAGTCTTTAGTTCTTTTAAACGATGTGATGCAAACTGATGGATATCTTACCTAGTTCACATGTCTTACAGCTCTTGACTAATGGAGACAGCAACTCAAGAGAATTTGTTGATCCACCTGGTAAGTTGTTTTCTTGTGATTTGGAGCTACATGTGATGATCATTCTCCATATAAATTCGCCTTTGGCTAAGCCACGCCCTAGCATGTAGATTGACCAATCACAGCCCAGCCAAGAACCAACTCCCACAGAGGTCCGACAGTTTTTCACTGTGCTCCATTGACTTTCAACAGAGGCGTCTCATATTTTTGGTCTCGGCAGGCTATTGCCGTCGAAGTTTTATCCAAAATATGGTTAAACGTTGTGCCTCAGGCATTTGCAACACAGATACGCATTTCCCAGAGAGGTTGGAGGGGGGTGTCCGTTTTTTCTCTTCCCAAAACCGAAGTAAAATCCTGACCGTGACAAGTGTCGTGTTTGGATTAAACTGCATGGATGTCCTCAGTCAGCTAAACCCCGCAAAGATCAACAAGCGCATCTTTTTTTACTTCTAACCTTACTGTGAGTGTGAAGTTATACTAGTTAAACCGTTTTATAATGTTTTAGGTTATGATTTCGGTTCATACCGGTTGTTGATACGCTAGCACACGCTGCTAATAAATACAACGTTATACAGTACTCGTGTAGTCTGTTTGCTTTGTAATAACGATTATAGAAGTGAATAGAGACCTACCCAGCTTTGCATGAACAGTGTTACTCCCTGATATTGTCAGTCCCAGCCTCCGTCTCGATTAGTAGGAAATGCGATGGTTCATTTTTTGACTGTGACCTGTAACGTTAACATTATGCTTTTGCCTCTATTTTGGATGCCTTGTTGTTGATTGCGTTTCACCTGTATATGTCTTGAATATAGCCTTCGAACGCATATTGCAGCCCCTTTTGCCTACTTCTATCGGACACTTTATTTGCTGCTTTATAAAAGTTTGATAACATTTCAGCAGGAAGAGCTGTTACAGCATAAGCCATGCAGAGCGCAGATGAAGTTTGACTGATGTAGCAACAGTAACTAAGGGGGGCGGGGCTTAGCCAATGGTGAATTACACCGTATCTTTAGGCTTACTACCAGTGACAATTTTTTCAATGTGTTTCGTCTTTGATGAACATATCCTTGAAATTTTGCATTTCATGTTGTTTTATATTCATTAATTTTAGTAAAGTTTACTTTGACTAAAGTAGATTCTAAATTTAGTTGAAAGTGCAAAATGAAGCCAAATTTCATTGATGAGATCAACATTTAAGTTATTTTAACTGCCTTGGTAACTTTTATAACATTAAAACTGACATATAATGTCAATATTCATTTTAAATGAATGTTCATCTCAATTGAATAACATTTTTTTTTTTTTTTTTCAAAACCCATGTGTAGTTGTACACCTTGGTCCTGGAGAAGACCGTTCAGAAGATGCAGTGATGATGAACAATCCTGTGGTGAAGTCAGCTTTAGAGATGGGATTTGAGCGTGGCCTGGTGAAGCAAACCGTTCAGAGCAAAATTCTCGCAAGTGGAGAGAATTACAAAACCGTTCAAGAATTGGTGTCTGATTTACTAAGTGCAGAAGATGAGAAGAGAGAGGAGGAGCGAGAGCTTCTTGCCGAGGAAATGGCATCAGGTATTTTTACAGAATAAGATTGGGTCTCATGAATCAATGTTTGAATTCGATTTAATCTAACTCGTATTGTGTTTCTTTACAGATGGTTTTACTTTTCTTAAGAAACATCATGTTGCCTTGTCACAGCGCCTAAAAAGTGTGCAGAGCTTAATGGACCATCTTCTGGAGGAGAACGTCATCTCACAGAAAGAGTATGACATTATTCGTAACTGCACTACAGTCAAGCAGCAGACAGGGCAGCTCATCGAGTTAGTCCTGTCGAAAGGAAATGCAGCAGCAGAGGTTTTCCGCAACTGGATCAAGAAGAATGATGTCTACCTGCTGAGAGAACTGATGGGTATGTGATATTTGAATCAGATACAAGAAAAAGTGTGAATTTTCAGTGTTACATGTCGTTAGTCTGCGTGAAACTGCACGGCCAGTAGATAGGAACACTTGAATCACTTAAAAAAGGAAAAAAAAAAAAGGTGATGCCATTTATAAAGATCCACATCAAACATACAAATCCACATCAAACATATCACTACATTATATTGACAACCAATTTTTATTTTTTTGTTCTTACTGCAATTTCAGCCCAGACAAATGAAGCTGCATCACCGAGTCAAGATCTTTCAGGTATATTCAAACATGAGAAAAGGTTTTCTTTTGATTTTGCACTTTTTTATCTCTAGCCTTCACACTAAGAAAATCAGTTAGATCCCACTCTGAAACAGAGTTTGTTTAAAGCAAATAACAGTGTCCATCATGTTCACAGACTTGCCTATGGAGGAACAGTTAAGACGACTTCAAGAGGAGCGCACATGCAAAGTTTGCATGGATAAGGAAGTGAATATTGTCTTCATCCCCTGTGGTCACCTAGTTGTGTGCAAAGAATGTGCACCTTCTCTGCGTAAGTGTCCCATATGTAGAGGATTGGTCAAAGGCACTGTCCGTACTTTTCTATCATAAAGAGAAGTTTTAAAATTAAAATTGGAGCAAATAAAAACAATGAAACCAAACAAATGTTATGTTTGATCTTTTTAATGTTTTGGACAAATGTACAAAAACGTTTGCATTTCAAGTTTTAATTAAGTTCTTAATAGCCTCTGTTGAATTTTATTTTAGATTAAAAATATTTACAGCATATAAAAAAACACATCTGCACATTTAGTGTTTTAATAAATTCATTAATGTACAACAATCATAAACAGTTGATGACTTGTTTTATATGTCCAGGTCTTGAAGGTTACCCCAGCTTGGACCCACTTTGACTTTTACTCTAAGCTTTACATATAATTTTACAACACATTCCATTTCTCGCTTCATAATCTGAGCAACCTGTCAAAAAAAAAAAAAAAAAAAATACAATTTGACTTGTCACCATTGAACTTTTTTAATATTCCACAGTAAATGCATTATTCAGAAAGAATGGTCTTCTTAATTACCTGAATGACGTCTTCCTCTGCAACCTCATAAATAAGTTCATCATGCAGCTGAAGTATAAAATAGCCTCCTCGAGGTGGTCTGAACTGATTTCTGTGTCTACCACCTGAAAAAACATATTCAATTCACATCCCACATTTAAAAGTTAAAAAATGCCATAATATGAAGTGGCTCATACCCATTTTAACTGGAGGGTGCTGATGTGATGTAGGCATTCCAGGAAACGCTGCTTCCAGTCTGCGCTGGATGTTGATGGTTGCTAATTTCACAATGTCAGCGGCAGAGCCCTGCACGGTCGTGTTCACTGCCTGTCGCTCTGACTAAAAAAGATGGTTAGACGTCCAAACTTAAACTCTTATTCCACAGCAGATATTTTCGAATGGCAGGCTCATGAAGACTTACGTGAGACTTTATGTACACATTCGAGTCCTTTATTCCAGGCAAGAAACGCTTCCTTCCGAGTAATGTCTTCACGTAACCATTTTTCCCACACTTCTGCACAGTTTCACGAAGAAAGTTCTGTATGCCTTAAGTAAGAAATGACGCTGTTATTATCATTACAGCCTTTATTGACCAGAAAGGAAGCATACATTGTCAATTACCGGTGTATCTGGATTTAAATGTCTCAATGTAACAGGCAGCATCATTCTCCTCAATGCCCATTTGCTCTCCAAGTGACTTGGCTCCCATGCCATAGATTATTCCATAACAAATCTGTTGACAAAGATGATACGATTTCAGTGACAACCAATACAATTTTGGTCAAACTTTAGGTCCAATTCTCGCTATTAACTACCACTTTTCCATCAATAAACACATAATTACTGCTTATTAATAGCAAGTAAGGCAGTTGCTAAGTTTAGGTATTGGGTAGGATTGAGGGATGTAGAATAGGGTTATGCGAAAGAAAGCATTCATGTGTGTTTTATGAGTTCTAATAAACAGCCAATATCCTAGTAATATGCATGCTACTAAACAACTAGTTATTAGTAAGAATTGGACCCTAAACTAAAGTGTTATCAAGCAGATGCAAGTGATTCAACTAGTGACTACTGTATTATAGTCTCAGATACTTTTTTGAAAGAGACATGTAAATGTATGTACAATAAATAATGTAGCAAACCTGTTTGGCCTCTTGCCTCATGTTATCATCAACCGAAGCAGGCTCCACCATTTTCCACTCAGCTGCTATGCTTTTAAACACATCTGCACCACTGTTAAGCACATGGAGGAGCCGTCTGTCTCGGGATAGGTGAGCCAAGATGCGAAGCTCCAACTGTGAGTAGTCAGCAGCCAGAATCAGACCTCCTGAACACGTGTATAAGATTAAAACAGGTAGTGTTAATGTGGCATAAAACATTTTATGAATGCAAACAGTTGCCCGTTAAAGGAAAAGTTCACTTTGAAATTAATTTTTGATATGTTTTAGCTTACCTCAAGGGCATCCAAGATGTAGGTGTCTTTGTTTCCACAGTATTTTTAATTTTGACATTTTTTCAGTCAAACCAGTGTTGTTGTCTGTCAGTCATTAAATGGAGGTCTATGGAGCCCACCGCATGCACAGAGAAGTCAAAATTAAACATGATTTAATTACTTGTGAATGTAAACTACACACTGATGGCCTAAGACACGTGAGAAAACGAACAGTATTTATATAGTTTTTACCTCTTGTTTACAGCCGTCGAACTGATCTGAATCAGATGTCCAATTGAACCGAACTGAACCGTCTCCAACGTGACGCCAGAAGTGATCGCGTGCGCATGTACGGATTACATTACACGGAGATTTCGGAAGTTTTACCTTGCTTTCACTAAACATATTTAGATATATCGAAATCGTCTTCCATTGCGATTTCCCGTATATCTAAATATATTTAGTAAAAGGTGAAACTTCCGAAATCTCCGTGTAAACAATGCTTGATGTAGACGCGCGAGAGATCACTTCCGGCGTAACGTCTGGAGACGGATCTGATTCAGATTAGTTCGACGGCTGTCAACAAGAGGTAATAACTATATAAATATTGTTCGTTTTCTCACACAAACCTCTTGTTTCGTGCCTTAGGCCATCAGTGTGTACTTGCATTCACAAGTCATTAAATCATGTTTAATTTCGACTTCTCTATGCTCTTTTAGGAGATCCCCATAGACCTGCACTATGACTGACAGACAACAACGGTTTGACCAAAAAATGTCAAATTTGAAAATGCTGTGGAAACAAAGACACCTACATCTTGGATGCCCTTGAGGTAAGCTAAAACATATCAAAAATTAATTTCAAAGTGAACTATCCCCAGCTCTCTTGACCCAAAAAAGTTTCAAACCTGAGAAGGGAACAAAAGCATGTCTCATGCTGACAGAAAATGGCATCCCTTTATCTGGTGATTTGTCAGGTACTTTTAAAAGTGGTGCCAATAGCTGGTTTGTCTTTGATCGTTTCCCCCTGAAATAAATAAATAAACATATCATACAATAAAATATATTTTAAATGTGTAATACTGGACATGTAACTGCAGTGCAACAATGTAAGACCGTACCACATCTTGCTTGCACCATTATTCTGTGATGGTTGACTTTCTTCTATAAGTGTTGGCATCTGAATTTCAAAATCTTTTGGGACATTCTGAATGTTTGGTTCAGTGAAGCTCACACGACCTATGTGAGAAAAGCATTAAAATACTGTCCCGAGCAGACGCACAAATAATTGTTATTTCTTATGCTTCACACCTGTGGCAGTGTGTGACTGTGAGACTGGATGAATTCTGTCCATCTTCAGATGTGGGTGCCACTTCTTCTCTCTTTGCAAGGGGAAAACTACTTTTGTCAAAGCATTCGTGATCCTCCTCCACTCAAGAATAACACCTGGCAACTGATGCAATGGCTTGAGCTTTTCTAAAACATCCTGACGAAACAAGAAAAGAGTGCATTTAGGAAGTGCATACATACCACAGATTTAAACGTTAGAAAAATCTGAGACTATGGAATGTACCTTGGTTGTACTGAACTGTTTAGAAAGTTTGATACGGGCACCCGGTCTTCTAGTGTAGCCCAGTGTCTTCTTATTCTTTGGAGCATTTAAATCTCCATTGGGAGGAAGCTTCAACTCAAGAAACAACACCTATAACAGTTGCAATTAAAGATTATAGATGTTTATTTCTTTTGTTTTTACACAGGATAATGCCTTTTTTGTGGGTAAATGTATTTCGGTATTGTTATTTTGAGTGGCGAGAAGGATAATAACCTCCGCAACATCCTCTGGACTGGTCAGTGAGAAGCTATGTCCTGCAAGCTGATAGGCTTGGGATTCAAGAACACTTAGCTTGGCTTGCATCACATGTTTCTGAGCCTCACATTCAGCAACACTAAACCCCATTCCATTCAGCTCCAACAATGCCAGGCAGTATTGGGTGGGCATCTCCACTTTCTTGAATGAATCTGGCAGTGAAAAGAACATGATATGAAATAATTAGTATTTACAATCACTAACTTGAACAAAGACCTGTGGTGTCCAAACCTGCAACTGAAGGGCCACTATCCCTGCAGAATTTAGTTCCAATCCTAATTTTACACACCTAAATCAAGGTTTTCAGGATTGCAAAATTTCTAAGCAAGTGTTTAGGGGCTAGTTGAAGCTAAACTCTGCAGAACATTTGGCCCTCCAGCTGCAGGATTGGATACCCCTGATATAGACTAATTGAGTTGCTAAAATAATGTTGGCTACCCAAGAAACCATCCTTTTCGAGAAGACAGTTGAGTTGCGTCATGACCCTGAAAACCAAAACAGACTCAACAGCAGCTCTATAACGTCCTGGGTGACTGGGATCTCCATAGATCCCTAAACTCTGCACACTCTGACCAGGACTAATTGCTTCCAACATCGGGAGATCCTCAGTAGCGAAGCTGGACACCATGTTGTGGAGAGTGCGCTCTTTGGAGCTTGAATCCAGAAGCCAACATGCAATCTATTGAAGGACAAATAAGTGAATGTAGTTAGACATCCTACCCCATCAGATCCATCTTTGTGATTTCAATAATTAAGAAGATGGAGGGCATAGAAAATTGTACTCTAATTTCTGTCTAACCTTTGGGTCTTCAAATGTGCCACGCATAGCAAGCTCACACGCCAGGAGAAGTGTCTTGTAAAGTTGAATAAAGTCATAAGTGATCATCACACTTGATTCTTTTTCCAAGCAGCAATGAATTTGCTTCAGTCGCTCCTCAACTGTAAGAGTCTCATCAAGAGGCGGTGGAGCTAAACTGGCACTTATATCTGTTTGGAGAAAGACAAGAGTAGGTTTGAGGATAGCAGCATTCAATCGAGCAGGTTTGCTGAAGTTGGTAAATTTTTTACGGTTTATTACATTTAGTCCACAAAGTTGACAATCACACGTTTCAAACCTGTGCCTGACAGCTCCTGTTGTAGAGATACAAAATAAGCATCTTTTGCGCCCCAGCATACAGACATGCCAACGACAACAAGATCCTCATGTCCTTTCAGAAGGAAGCCATCTTTTCTTTTGTTCCTCATTGGGGTGGTAGCTTCAAACATAGCATTACATACGTTTAAAAACTTGAATACT